AACTCACTGCAGTTTATTAGGGCCCGAGCACTAACAGTGCGAGGACCCTATTGAAACTGTTAGGATTATTTATTTATTTATTTATTTATTTTTTTTTTTTTTTTCTGCAAAGTAAGTGCCATTTTCGGGGCCGCAACATGCTCAAAAACTCACCAAATTTGGCACGCATGTCAGGACTGGTGAAAAATTTCGTATTTTGTGGGTTTCGCAGATGGGCGGGGCAAAATGGCACGCTAGCGCCACCTAGAAAATTGGAAAAAATTAGCCCCTCGTCCACGTTCAACCTACATGCACGAAATTTGGTGGGGACGTGTATCATATCAAGACGCACAAAAAAGCCTCAAGAACCCATACCCTAAACTCGACAGGAGGTCCGCCAGTTTGAATTTGGCGGCCATTTTTGACGATTTACAGACTCCGTACTTTAACGAACTCCTCCTAGGGCTTTAGTCGGATCGACTTAAAATTTCTGCTGTGCCTTCTAAAGGCATTGACGATGTAAAGTTGTGCTATCTGCGCGTTTTCGTCGATGGGCGTGTCCGTGGCGTCGAAGATTCGCCATGAAACAGGAAGTTGTAGTAACTTGGCTGTAAATGCCCAGATCTGCACGAAATTTGACACATTTGACAAGAGTCACGCCCTGAACAAATCTACATGCCGACATTCACCCACAGTCATAGCGCCACCTGCTGACAACAGGAAGTGACCTTTAACGAAGCAGCCCCCGCCGCTTGTTTGACCGACATGTACGAAATTTCTGTGGTACATCTACCATGACCAGACGCACAAAAAAGCCTCAAGAACCCATACCCTAAACTCGACAGGAAGTCCGCCATTTTGAATTCGGCGACCGATTTGGGACGATTTACACACTCCGTACTTTAACGAACTCCTCCTAGGGATTTAGTCGGATCAACTTCAAATTTCTGCTGTACCTTCTAAAGGCATTGACGATGTAAAGTTGTGCTATCTGCGCGTTTTCGTCGATGGGCGTGTCCGTGGCGTCGATGATTCGCCATGAAACAGGAAGTTGTAGTAACTTGGCTGTAAATGCCCAGATCTACACGAAATTTTACACATTTGACAAGAGTCCCGCCCTGAACAAATCTACATGCCGACATTCACCCACATTCATAGCGCCACCTAGTGGCAAGAGGAAGTGACATTTAACGAAGCAGCCCCCGTCGCATGTTTGACCGACATGTACGAAATTTCTGTGGTACATCTACCATGTCCAGACGCACAGAAAATTCTCTTGGAGCGATGCCCTAAACTCAACAGGAAGTCAGCCATTTCTAATTTTACCGCCATTTTTGGATGATTTACTCATTACGTACTTTAACTAACTCCTCCTAGGGCTTTAGTCGGATCGCCTTCAAATTTCTGCTGTGCCTTTTAAAGGCATTGACGATGAAAAGTTGTGCTATCTGCGCGTTTTCGTCGATGGGCGTGTCCGTGGCGTCGATGATTCGCCATGAAACAGGAAGTTGTAATAACTTGGCTGTAAATGCCCAGATGTGCACGAAATTTAACACATTTGACAAGAGTCCCGCCCTGAACAAATCTACATGCCGACATTCACCCACAGTCATAGCGCCACCTGCTGGCAACAGGAAGTGGCCTTTAACGAAGCAGTGTGGCAAATGCACAGCCGCACTGGCTGAGCTGCAGAAAATGAAACGCGGCCGCCTCAGACCCCGACGTGCTACAGGTGCGAGGGCCCGCCCATCGCTGCTTGCAGCTTTAATTCTTTCTGTGTTTCCGTCTCACTCATATTTACATCCATTTGAGAGTTACAGAAAGAAAGAAAGAAAGAAAGAACAGCAGAAAAAAACTTGAGTGAAAAGAAAGTGAAAATACAAACTAAACGGCTTCGTAACATGTTTACACACTGTAAAAAATATTTTCAAGATTTGTTATCACAACATATTTTCTTTTGTCAAATCAACTTTATAATAATTTATTTAGTTGAGATAACTTATTATTTTGAGTTTCTGATGGTTAAATTAATCTCATTCATTGTATTAACTCACTTTTTCCAGTTCAATCAACTTAAAATTTTAAGGCAACCAGGTTACTTACTTTTTTAAGTTAAAGCATCAATATTTTTTTACAGTGTTGTTAGTTCACGTTAGTTAATGCATTCGAAAAATAATGTTAATTAATGGGATTGTAAAGTGTTACTGAAGCTTTTGGTTTCACCGTTTATGTTATAGGCTAAATGTTTTATATTTCAGTTGACATAATTGGTGTTTAGTAGATCAGGCAGAAAGCAAAATGAGAGTGATTTGCTTTGACAGGTGCAGAATCTGTCCGCGTGTTTTAAATTCTCCGCATGACAGCGCAGGAGAGTTTTTCTTCTCGGTTTACATACTTTCGGATCAGAAACACGACCTAACGGAGCTGGTGACATGGCATTCAGTGCGTGTAAGCTTTGACTTTAGCTAATCGAGATATGTGTACTAACATGTTTCTTCACTTATCCACCAGAGTTAACTCTTATTGACCACGGATGTTCTCACTTAACCACTAAATTATTTTGTTTCTGTAAAGTTGTTTACTGCTGTGGTGAAGGCTTGTGTTGTTTAATTACACTAACACCGACTTTATACACTAACGTTTCCTGCTACCGCAAGTTCGTGTCATTAATCACAACAAAGTTAACTGACAAATTACTTTTTTGCTTATGTATTATGCGTTTTGTTTTTAGATTCTTTGATTTTTACAATGCCATAATAACACAGAAAACTCTAAACTGGCTTTGTTTTCTAATCTGATAGACTATATCTCAGCATTTCACATTTCTTTGCCCAGTATTGCTGCTTGTAGAATCATTCAAATCAAATGTAATGTTTGTTTTGAGTTGTGTTATTGTGGCGACAGCCAATTGTGATGTAAGACTTTTGTTTCAGTGAGTGATCCTGTTCGCAGCAGATGGAGCATGGACGTGCCTCCTAACTGTAAGTTTTTAACACCATAAACCATTATATGAAGATTCTGTGAAATTAATGGGCAGTTTATCCCCTTCAAAATAGACAATATTAATTCAAACTCAAATGTTTTGTTCACTTTTGCTGAACAACTGCAGTGATGTTGGATTTAAAAGTGCACTGTAAAAAATAAAATCACAAAAAAAGGTCAAATGACTGGCAGCAAACGGTGCCAATCAAATAAAAATAACAAATAAAATATCCTAATTTAAATTAAGCGCAAAAACATTTTACAGGTATTTTTCTTAAATTTTTTACAGAAAAACACTGTTATTTTACAGCTATTATCTGGATGATTACGATCAAACACTCTAACTGTAAAAACAATGCATTATTATGATCAAATACCTTCATTGAAAAAAGTCATAAAAAAATGTAGTAAAAACAGTCAATGACTGTCAGCAATGGCTGCCACACAAAAACCATACAATTAATGTAAAATAGCCTAATTTAAATAAGTGCAAAAGTAGCATTAAGCTTTTTAACAGAAACAGTTATTTCACACATTTCCAGAATTTTTTATTATGAAAAATGTAAGTGATGCATGATTTACTGTGATTATACATCACTGCATCAGCAACTACACAGTTACTGTCTGTTAAATAAAGCAACATGCAGCATTTCATCAGTGTTACTCTGCTCATCCTGAACTGAAGCACAGGCTCTACTCTTCAACACAATGGTGACCCACAAAACACACCATATAACAATTTACATCCCAACAGAACATTAAACACTAACAGATCTGTCAAGATCGCTGCATCCTCACTTATTACAATCCAGACGTTATTTATTGCATACTAACATTCTTACTGAGAATTAAAAGATGTTTAGAAGTTGATTTTTTTATGGAAAATAATAAAGTTTGATGTCACCATGATGGAGATCAATGTTTGCTTTAGTCGGGCTCTGACCCTTTGCTTTTAACATTTCTTTTTCTCTGGCTGCTTTAACTGTGTGTCGCTGATGCATATTTGTTATAGTACACTGTAAAAAAGGATTTTTTTGATGAAGTAAATACTACTGAAAAAAAACAATGTAATTTACATGAAAAAGTTAGTGCAGGCAAGAATTTAAAAAAATAAGTAAATTCCATATCAGAACTTGAAAGTGTAAATATCAACTCAATAAAATTAAGTAAAAATTACTCAACTTTTCTGATACTGGGCTTCCCATCATGCACTGGACCTTGAATAATTAATGAGGCTCATTTTTCACTGGTTTCCAGCTGTATTTACACTGTTTTATCATTGATTTCTGTTGTCAGTATTAGTAACTTGCCAGTTTGTGACATTTCGAGTAAATTTTTTGCTCAAAATGACACAAACACAAAAACGACCCATCAAATGTTACCGCCATTGTGTAATTGTCTACCAAGTATTGAGGTCTTTGCATTCACATGAGGCTTAACATCTGACATGATGTGATATAAATTACTTAAATTATCTAAATAAAGCACATACTATAAATGACTAATAAAATTCAATATTATTATTTAAGTGAAATGCAATGCAAAAGCAAAGGAAATTTCAAATAAATAGATATTAATCAACCTTTCACTAGCCAAGTTAAAATTACTTATTTTCTGTAAAGTTTACTTAATTCCACATTCCAAGTAAATTTTAATTTAAGATTTCTAATTAAAGCTACTGATAAATATGCTTAGGTTTTTATTTGGCAAATCGTTGTAAATTTACTAGTATTTTCTAAGTGGAAAAAAGTTGCCTAGCTTTTTTCCAAGTAAATCCAACTCCAATTTTTTTTCAATCCAAGAGAAACTCAGTTACTTGGTGTTGCTTTAAAGGGTAGAATTCACTACTACGATGTCTGATTTGCTGTTCTCCTATGTTGAATGTTTAAATGTTTTTTTGTGTGTTTCAGTGAGTGATCTGAGGATTGTTCTGCTGGGCAAGAATGTGTCAGAAAACAGTGGAGTGGGAAACTTCATATTAGGGCGAGCAGCGTTTGACAGTGAAGCTCCTCCAGATGTTGTGGAGAGAGTCGGAGGAAGACTGAAGGACAGACACGTGACCATCATCAACAGTCCTCAGCTGCTCAACACACATCTGTCACTCCATCACGTCACACACACAGTGAGAGAGTGTGTGAATCTGTCTGATCCAGGACCTCATGTCTTCATACTCGTACTACAAAACAATGACATCACTGAAGAAGACAGATACAGAGTGAAAACTGTCCTGAGAGAATTCAGTGAAGAGGCGATTAAACGCACCATTGTGCTCACGACTGATGAAGATACGCACGACGCTAAAGGTGCACCTGTGACAGTTAAAAAAGTAATTCAACAGTTAAATGCCGAATGTGGAGGAGGACATCTGCAGCTTGAACATGCAACAGAGGAATGGTGCTCTATAATATCGCAACGAATAGAGAAGATTCTCAGAGAAAACAGTGAAGAATTTCTCACATGTGAACTCTATGATTACGCAGAAGGATCATCAGTAGATGAAGATCACAACAGGTCCTTTGCTTCACTCGGAACGGAGGAGGAAGACGAAGAGTCTGATGCAGACGATGATGGAAAATACCTAGAAACTCGTACTGAGAAAAAGAAAGCAAAAGGGTTTATTCGCAATATACCGCTAATGTCATATTGTAAGTATTCCTACATTTGAAATATTCAGACAGGGTTATTGAATATTAGGGACTTACATTGTATAATATTTAACTTTGGTAGAGTGCATAGCAAAAAACAGTGGTAGTAGTATTGACGGTTGCCCCTATACACACCTGACATAAATGACAAAGAACAGACTACAGTACACTCTTCCAGTTCCAGCCCCCGCTTCATATACGTGTATAAGAGTGTATCTTCCTTACAGTGTAATGCAGAAGTCCAACTTGTCAATCTTTTTTTAATGTAGCCATTTGATTGATTTAGTTTTTCCTAATAGATCAGAGCTATATATACACTCAAAACTCACTAGTGGTTTCAGAAGCACAATGTGACCATCACAGTTTAACTTATGAAGAAGCAGTTCAAGGGTCAGCCATGATGCATAATTGTGTATTGAATCGTGATATATTTATTACAATGTGTATCCTATCTTAAACTAGATATATGTGGAGCAAATTTGAGTTTAAAGTAAGTGGCCTCACAAGTGAGACAATGAAAATGTTATAGATATATAGATATATTGATGTATTTACCCCTTTTTTACAGTTAGTAATCCAGAGACCAGACCAGAGCATTATCCAGCAAAGAGTAAGTTTATAACACACTAAATTAATATAATAATAATAATAAATATAGCTGCGAGCAGCGATGGCGGGCCCAAGCCGGTGGCACCGCAACCCCGGCTCCTTTAGTTACCTAAAGGCACCATAATAATAATAATAATACATCTGAAAATGCTGCAGTAACCTATTTTGTTGTTGTGGTTTAAGGAAATGTACGCGTGAGCAGAAAAAAGAAGTTGTGTGTTGTGTTATGTGGAAGTGATGGAAGACTGAAGGCCTCCGTATCAAGACTTATAAGAGGAAAAAATAAGTTTTTTCCCCCCTTACACCTGAAAGAGAAAGAGTGTGTGAGGAGAAACCTGGAGCTTCATGGACGTGTGGTCAGTCTGGTGAAGCTTCCAGCTGTCAATCGGCTCTCAGAGGAGGAAGTGATGCGTAATACTCTCCGCTGTGTGTCTCTCTGTGATCCTGGAGTTCATGTTTTCCTCTTCATTGTTCCTGATGCTCCACTGACTGATGAAGACAAAGCAGAAATGGAGGAGATCCAGAGGATATTCGGCTCAAGCATCAAAAACCACCTCATGGTTCTCATTATCCAAGAGAAGAGCATGATTAGTAAACTGATTGGTAGTAAAAGTCTATGTAATACTTCAGCTACTGAGACGTCTCTTAAAACATTTGGAGGTCATCGTTTTGTCCTGGAGAACAGCTCGCAGGTTCCCGCTCTACTTCAGGATGTGGAGAACATGGTAGAAGAGAACAGAGGAAGTTTCTACACCACCTTCATGTACCTTCAGGCTCGAGTAGAACTGGAGAAAAACAAACACAGAGCTGAAATAGGGGAACTGAGAAGATCTATGATGAAAACTCAATCAGGTATGAGTTCATGAAAGTGTGTTGATGTTTGTCAGAAAGTGTGTTGATGTTTGCTGTTGAAGTGGGGAAGTCATAATTACGATGTCGGGTGCATTCAAGTCACTTTGATCAAAGCAAAATGTTGATGTACCCTTTCTACAAGATGTTCACAAAGATTTTTTTAAACAAAATGATTCAAATATAACGTGCAATGGGTGTGTTTTTGCTTTTTTATGTTTTTATTATATTTATGAAGATCCTGTAAATTAAATCAATATATATATATATATATATATATATATATATATATATATAGTATATGTGTGTGTGTGTGTGTGTGTGGCCACACTTGTCACGATTCCTGTCTTGTGTTTTCCTTGTCTTGTGTGGACTTTAGTTATTTCCTGTTTCTGTGCCATGTTTTGTAGTCCTTTGTAGTTTTTTCTTGTTTATAAGTTTCCCCAGGTGTTTCTGATTTACCACGCCCCCTTGTTCCCTCGTTTAGCCTGTTTGTCTGTGTATTTAAACCCCTGTGTTTCAGTTGTTGGGTGTCGGTCCATGTTTCACTGTAGCGTTGTTTCGAGTTCTTGTTTCTGAGTTTTGTTCTGAGTTCCTGTTTCCAAGTTTTTTGTTCTCCGTGGATTTCCCTTTTTGTTTTGTTTATTATTATTATTAAATACTGCTTTCTGCATTTGGATTCCTCCCTGCCTCCTCAACGTTACAACACTATATATATATATATATATATATATATATATACAGTGGTGGAAAGAGTACTGAAAAAACATACTCAAGTAAAAGTACCATTACATTCCAAAAAATGTAGTGTGAGTAGGTTAAAAAGTACTTGTCCAAAAAACTACATGAGTAAGAGTAAAAAAGTAGCTTATTTAAAAGTACTCAAGAGTAGTGAGTAGTGAGTGAGGTGCGGAATTCTTACCCTTATAATAAACACTGTGCACTACAATTTATAAATTAAAAAAAATGCACATACTGGAATTCACATTATATTTTGTTCTTTGTAAGAAAGATTGAAGAATATCTATCATCCATCTTTTTAAAATGCATAAAATCAGTACACTCATCACCATTTAAATCATATTATTTGGGGGGAAAAGCATTTAAAATTAGGCGAAAAGCCACTGGGCCTGAGCATGTTATTGTTGCACATAAAATATCAATATTCATAACTGTGCAAAGAATTCAAAAACCTTTAGAAACTCATATGATAGTTCAGCATCACACACCAAGAGATGGGTTAAATAAAATAAAAAAATACCCAATTTCTCTCCAAAACGGTACCAATGTTAGTGTTTTGATAAATGAGAATCACTAATATTATCATATTACCTCAACTAATGCACTGAAAAAGGCTAAGATAGTGAGCTAACACTAATTACACACTTTTATTATATGCTATTAAATATGTTACAATTTAAACGTAAATGCACATTGTTCTAGACGGGTGGCATCATCCTTTACATTTTACACGGCTACATTTACTCACATTGTAATGCTGATAATATAATTTGTAAGGAAAATTGTGCATTAAATAGGGAAGTTATATCCAGGAAACTTTTACAAAAGAAACAAACACACTTTGTCTCTGAAGTCTCTGAAGCATCCACAAAAAAAAAAACAGTTCAGCATGAAAAATGTTTTTGCGCAAGTGCACTTGGCACCTGCAGACGGATCATATAATGGATCAATCAAAAAACGCTGTTTATTAACGAGCTGTGCTAATTTCTTATTAAGTAATGCAGTTCAAGTTAACGACATGGTGCACTGATTCTGAATCTGGCGGCATGGCGAGCGCGAGACGCGGCAGTGCACAGATCGTGACGCGCGTCATTCGATTGTGAAGTAAATGGAAGCGGGAATTCACCGCATTATGAACTCGTCTCGCAATTCCCCCAACCTCAGACCAAATGTTAGGCCATGTAGACAGGCCAGCCTATATGAATATCATATTAAGCAGAAATGTACCTTAGCATATAAGAGGAAGACGCTGATATCTGGATTGAATTGATGCTTGATGAATGCACTTCCACAGCAGTCAGTCACGAGTAACAGCAGGAATAGGCGGTAAGTTTTCTATGCTTAATTTGAATTGATGACAGTCACGAGACCGATTACTCGATCCAATCACGTTGATGGATAAAAATAAAATTAAAACAAGCATGTAACGAGTAACGGCCACAAACAGAAGGAAAATAGCGGAGAAAAAGTACCGATACATCACTTAAAACGTACTCAAGTAAAAGTAAAATTACACAATTTTAAACGTACTCAAAAAAGTACAATTACTGAAAAAAACTACTTAATTACAGTAACGTGAGTATTTGTAATTCGTTACTTTACACCCCTGTATATATATATATACACACACACACAGTGGGGCCAAAAAGTATTTAGTCAGCCACTGATTGTGCAAGTTCTCTTACTACAATAATGAGAGAGGTCTGCAATTTTCATCATAGGTACACTTCAACTATGAGAGACAAAATGAGAAAAAAAAATCCAGGAAATCACATTGTAGGATTTTTAAAGAAATTATTTGTAAATTATGGTGGAAAATAAGTATTTGGTCACCCACAAACCAGCAAGATTTCTGGCTCTCAAAGAGCTCTTCTGTCCTCCACTTGTTACCTTTATTATTGGCACCTGTTTGAACCCGTTATCTGTACAAAAGACGCCTGTCCACAGCCTCAAACAGTCACACTCCAAACTCAACCATGGCCAAGACCAAAGAGCTGTCGAAGGACACCAGTTTTAGACCTGCTCCAGGCTGGGAAGAGTGAATCTACAATAGGCAAGCAGCTTGATGTGAAAAAAAATCAACGGTGGGAGCAATTGTACGAAAATGGAAGACATACAAGACCACTGATAATCTCCCTCAATCTGGGGCTCCACGCAAGATCTCATCCCGTGGTGTCAAAATGATCATGCGGACAGTGAACAAAAATCCCAGAACTACACGGAGGGACCTGCAGAGAGCTGGGACCAAAGTAACAAAGGCTACTATAAGTAACACACTACACCGAGAGGGACTCTAATCCTGCAGTGCCAGGCGTGTCCCCCTGCTTAAGCCAGTACATGTCCAGGCCCGTCTGAAGTTTGCCAGGGAGCATATGGATGATCCAGAAGAGGATTGGGAGAATATCATGTGGTCAAAATAGAACTTTTTGGTAAAAACTCAACTTGTTGTGTTTGGAGGAAGAAGAATGCAGAGTTGCATTCCAAGAACACCATACCTACTGTGAATCATGGGGAAGGAAACATCATGCTTTGGGGCTGTTTTCCTGCAAAGGTGACAGGAAAACTGATCCGTGTTGAGGGAAGAATGAACGGGGCCATGTATCATGAGATTTTAAGCCAAAAGCTCCTTCCATCAGTGAGAGCCTTGAAGATGAAACGTGGCTGGATCTTCCAGCATGACAATGATCCCAAACACACCGCCCGGGCAATGAAGGATTGGCTCCGTAAAAAGCATTTCAAAGTCCTGGAGTGGCCTAGCCAGTCTCCAGACCTCAACCCCATAGAAAATTTGTGGAGGGAGTTTATAGTCCGTGTTGTCCAACGACAGCCCCGAAACATCACTGCTCTAGAGGAGATCTGCATTGAGGAATGGGCCAAAATACCAGCCACAGTGTGTGTAAACCTGGTGAAGACTTACAGGAAACGTTTGACCTCTGTCATTGCCAACAAAGGTTATGTTACAAAGTATTGAGTTGAGCTTTTGTTATTGATCAAATACTTATTTTCCACCATAATTTACAAATAAAGTCTTTAAAAATCCTACAATGTGATTTCCTGGATTTATTTTTCTCATTTTGTCTCTCATAGTTGAAGTGTACCCAGACCTCTCTCATCATTCTAAGTAGGAGAACTTACACAATCAGTGGCTGACTAAATAATTTTTGGCCCCACTGTATATATATATATCTCTGTAATAACTGGTCTTCTCTTGCTGTTTGCAGGTTTAATACACAGTGATATTGGAGTGAGGATCGTTTTGCTGGGAAAGACGGGTGTCGGGAAAAGTGCAACAGGAAACACCATACTGAGAAAAACAGCTTTTAAATCAAAACTGGCTTCACGCTCAGTGACCCGAGAGTGTCAGAAAGAAACAGCTGAGTTCAACAGAAGACGGATCACTGTGATCGACACTCCAGGCCTGTATGATACTGCCGTTGATAATGTTGAGACCAGGAAGGAGATTGTGAAGTGCGTCTCAATGGCGGCACCCGGACCACATGTGTTTCTGCTGGTGATTCAACTGGGACGATTCACTCAAGAGGAGAAAGATGCAGTGAAGATGATCCAGGAGTCTTTTGGAGACCAATCCAGAATGTACACCATGGTGCTGTTCACCAGAGGAGATGAGCTTAGAGGAGCAAGAGTTGAAGATTTTATTGAAGATGATGATAGTTTAAAGAGCCTCATCCAGCAGTTTGGTCACAGATACCATGTGATTAATAACATTGAGACTGAAGATCGAAAACAGGTTTCTGAGTTGTTCGATAAGATTGACTGTTTGGTGGCAGCAAATGGAGGGAGTTTCTACACTAATGAGATGTTCCAGCTGGTGGAGAAGAACATCAAAGAGGAACAAGAGAGAATACTGAAAGAGAAAGAAGAAGAGATCAAGAGAAAAGAAGAAGAGCTGAAAACCAAATATGAATCTGAAATAGAACAAATGAAGGAAGAAAACGAGAGAGAAAGACAAGAGATGCACAACGAACTGAGAAAAAGTGAAGAAGAATTCAAGAAGAAAGAAGAGGAGATCAAGAAAGAAAAAGATGAAAACCTACAAAAAGAGCTGCAGAAAAAACCGGAGGAGCAGCAGAAACTGTTTGAAGACGAGAATAAAAGAAAAGAAAAGGCTTTAGGAGAACAGCAAGAGAACTTCATAAAATACCTGGAAGAACAACATGAGAAAGACAAACAAAAACTTCAGGAGAAAATTCAACGTGAAACTAGAGAACAAGCAGAGCGTGAATATCTTATAAAGCTTGAGAGAGAAGTGGCTAGAGCTTTAAAAGAAGCTGAAGAACAACTACCATGTAGTGCAAAACGAGCTCGTGACTGGAGTCGGCATGGAGGTTTTCTAGGAGCAGCTGCCGGATGTTTTGTTGGTTCTTATGAGGACATGGTGTATTGGATTGTCAGATTATGTTTTAAAGGTCAAGCTCAAATTCAAACTGAAGGGTGAAGAGAAATCATCTTGAGTACATACATTTTTCCAAAAAACATTCTGTTTGTGTGGTGATGGTTGTGATATTAGTGTAACTACTTCATCTCACATTCATTCCGTATCGCCTTAGGCCCCGTCCAAACTACTGCGTTTTCGTTTAAAAAAGGAGAATTAAAACGAATACGATCTCCGTCCACACCAGCGTTTTATCTGCGTATTAGAAATGATCTCCGTCCACATTAAAACGACTGAAAACGCAGATCACGTGACCATTCACCAACACTGGGCATGCGCGTGCCGGTGTAAACAGTGGTTGACGAATCAGGGAAGGAAACGTCATGACTGATAACACCCAATCATAGAGCCGAGCGCCAGCCTCTGCGTCATCGTTTCCAAACTCCTCCGTTTTGTCCCGTCTTCACTAAAACGCCCTCCGGAGATTCAAAACGCAAAACGGAGCCGCAGCGTTTCTAAACTTCTCCGTTTTAGGTCTTCGTTTTTTGCCGTTTTAGTCTGGACGGGAGGTGCAAACGTAGCAAAAGGTCTCCGTTTTTAAACAAAAACGCAGTAGGCCTTATGCTGCGTTCAAGTCCTCTTGGGAAGTTCGTACGTACGAGGTGGGAAGTCGTGTTTACGACGTGAGGTGTGTTCAAGTCAGTTTCGTCGGAGCAAAATGGCGGTGTACCTTCTTTTAATGAATTACACGAAAACACAGGTTTGTTAACTCTGCTAATAAAAAAAATGAAGAACAAAGAATGTGCATCAGGTGTGTGTTTCTTTTTATGTTTTTTATTAGCTTATGAAGCCAATGTCAACTCTATTGTTAGGTAAAATTTTTCTTATATTATAATGATATCATATTTTGTGCAGAGAGCTTGCTTTATAAATGAAAAAGCCTTACAATGTCAATGAGTAAACATTGAAATTCAATTAAAATTAAAGCTGCAAGCAGCGATGGGCGGGCCCTCACACCTGTAGCGCGTCGGGGTGTGAGGCGGCCACGTTGCATATTCTGGAGCTCAGCCGGTGCGGCTGTGAATTTGCTACGCTTCATTAAAGGTCACTTCCTGTTGCCAGCAGGTGGCGCTATGACTGTGGGGGAATGTCGGCATGTAGATTTGTTCAGGGCGGGACTCTTGTCAAATGTGTAAAATTTCGTGCAGATCTGGGCATTTACAGCCAAGTTACTACAACTTCCTGTTTCATGGCGAATCATCGACGCCACGGACACGCCCATCGACGAAAACGTGCAGATAGCACAACTTTACATTGTCAATGCCTTTAGAAGGCACAGCAGAAATTTGAAGTCGATCCGACTAAATCCCTAGGAGGAGTTCGTTAAAGTACGGAGTGTGTAAATTGTCCCAAAATGGCCGCCAAATTCAAAATGGCGGACTTCCTGTCGAGTTTAGGGTATGGATTCTTGAGGCTTTTTTGTGCGTCTTGATATGATACACGTTCCCACCAAATTTCGTGCATGTAGGTTATACGTGGTCGAGGGGCTAATTTTTTCCAATTTTCTAGGTGGCGCTAGCGAGCCATTTTGCCCCGCCCATTCGCGAAACCCACAAAATACGAAATTTTTCACCAGTCCTGACATGCATGCCAAAAATAAATAAATAAATAACCCTAACAGTTTCAATAGGGTCCTCGCACTGTTAGTGCTCGGGCCCTAATTTACCGTCAACAGACGTTGAACGAACGTTTCTCACTGACACGCCCCCAACTCATACAGATCGGGGCTTAAAGAAAATCCCGAGCTCCCCACTGGTATTTACGACATTGTGGTAGCGTTCAAGTGCGTTCAACTCGTAATTACGATCTATACGAGATGACTTGAATGCAGCATTAGTTTGCTTTGACTTCACACACTGCCATTTGTATTGTGGATTACTCCCTTTTCCCTTTTAAATAAACTTGCGCGTGGATCATAACTTTGAGTTCAGCAGTATTGTTATAGATGACTTTGATAGTTCTCTTAGAACTTCAAACACTGAAAACCACAGTAGCATTTCAATATCGCAATAATAAATCTCTTCATATTTCTTGTCTGAGTCCAACACATTATATCTAAAACTCTATTTATCAAACAATAAGCATTAAACACATAGATATTCTTTAATTAAATTAATTCAATTCAATTCCTATTTATTTGTACTCTGTTGAAAAATAAATAAATGTCAACTTTAAAAAAAATAAGGCAACCTATTGCACTCAACTTTAAGTTATCTCAACTAATTTGCTCCACTTAAAGGACAACTCCAGCGCAAAATGAACCTTTGGTCTAATTACACATTGTTACCTAGTCAACCGTTATCTGAGATTTGTTTTCATGATTGCCGAATGTAAATAGTTTTATCTCTAAAAACAGTTTAGCCTATAACGCTAGTATAATGCTAGTATATAGGGCATAGAGTAATGACAAATAAAAATCGCTTGTTATTACCACTAACAAGGCCTTCCGAATACAGGAAGAAGCCATATTTGAAAAATAGTCCCTACTAGTCGATCTACGAACGCCAATCCATGTGCACCGGTGAGATGTGAATAAGGTGATAAAGTGAGCGTGAACAGTAGGCTACATGTACATTGAAGACAAGTAAACGGTTCGTGTTTGTGTTTTTTACGAAAACAACGGACCATGTGAGATTCTGCACAGTTCAGCGCACTTGGATCGGTGTTCGTAGATCGACTGGTAGAGACTATTTTTCAAAGATGGCTTCTTCCTGTATTCGCGAAGTTGACTGTGTGTATAAAATATCTTCTTATTAAACTGTATGGACACTGACAAAGTTCTCAATGCTTTGAATGTAGGGACCCTTATTATGCTACCGTGTTAGTGTGGGGCTATTTCGAGCCTTGTTGTGAAACAATCCACTAGTGTTATACTAGCGTTATAGGCTAAACTGTTTTAGAGATAAAACTATTTACATTCAGCAATCATGAAAACAAATCTCAGATAACGGTTGAATAGGTAGCAATGTGTAATTAGACTAGGTCCATTTTGCGGAGGAGTGGTCCTTTAAAGTCAACTTAAAAACTTTTGAGTAATTGTTATGATGGAGATGACAGAGGCAGATCCAAGTGCAACAATTTATTCAAATATAAGACTTTGTCAAAGATAAAGAATCAGCACCAACAGATTCAGGGTTAAACGAAGGTGTGTCGAGCACCAGGCTTAAAGGATTAGTTCACTTTTGAAAAAAACTTTTGCTGATGATTTACTCACCCCCATGTCATCCAAGATGTCCATGTCTTTCTTTCTTCAGTCGAAAAGAAATTAAGGTTTTTGATGAAAACATTCCAGGATTTTTCTCCATATAATGGACTTCAATGGGAACCAGACGGTTCAAGGTCCAAAAGACAGTTAATAACAGTTTCAGATGCAGCTTCAAATGTCTTTAAACGACACCAGACGATGAATAAGGGTCTTATCATGCGAAACGATCGGTTATTTCAAAACTTATTCCAAAAATGTAACTTTTCTAAGGACAAATGCTAGCCTTGCTCTATTCTGTGAGGCGCGTTTGCAACGTCACGTAATACGTAATTACGTTCAAAAGGTCACGGGCGATGTAGCCAGAAGTACAGAGTCAGTGTTTACAAGTTGAACACATAGGTTGAACGTGCAAACTAACTCAAACGCCGTTTACAAAAAAAAAGGAATTAAAAGGTAAAACAACGATGTTGGACGATTTTGATTCTGTACTTACGGCTACGTCGCCCGTGACCTTTAGAACGTAATTACGTATTACGTGACGTTACAAACGCGCCTCACAGAATAGACCAAGGCTAGCATTTGTCCTTAGAAAAGTTACATTTTTGGAATAAGTTTTGAAATAACCGATCGTTTCGCATGATAAGACCCTTATTCATCGTCTGGTGTCGTTTAAAGACATTTGAAGCTGCATCTGAAACTGTTATTAACACTGTCTTTTGGACCTTGAACCATCCGGTTTTTTTCAGTGATACTGCTTGTTAACAGCAGGTGTTCATCAACGCTCAATCATTATTCAATGTGTTACATAGTGTTACATTTCAGCCTGTAGTGTGCACACTGCGCAGTGTTCATTTCATCTGGGCAAACCCGTGTGGGGCCTACATGGAAACCGTGGACAAAACTGGCTGGGTCTAGGCCTGCACGATTAATCGCAATTTACATGTAATCGCACTTAAATCGAGATGGCTTATCGCGATTTTGAAATCGCAAAGGCTGCGATAATCTTTTACGCGCAGCTCGTCATTGAAATACGGTTCTGTAAACGTTGCTCCATCTGAAAGTACTGTGAGTTGAGTCACTTATAACATGCATTTGAAAAAGGAACACGCGTCAAACATATTTCCAAACATGAGAAGCATTTATGAACCTCTCGTCCAACAAAAGACACCATTAAATAACATACGTTTATTCCAAACTCACTTCATAACGACAGTTGAGCATAATTTGTGATATGATGTGGCTTCTTAAGGGGGTCGCACACCGGGCGCGCAGCGCAGCGTCGCGTCACGCAGCGTCATGTCTTCAAAATTCGAACACATTATTCTCTATGTGTGTACACACACCGGCGCCGCCATTCAAAACCCTGCCGCGCCACAGAGCGCCATTTGCATAGTTTTATATTAAAATTGCATTTATTTGTCTCAAATCGTCGTTAATGTACATACTGACTTCACCCTGTGCTGCAATATACATTTAAGCCTATTTAACATTCCTAATTTTCCTAATTCCTAACAGCTTGAATAGTCATATTGTGCAAAAAATGTAAAACAAACATAGCCTTTTTAAATCCATTTTTCAACAGGCTATGCTATCATATTAACCATACACTACTGTGTTATTATTATTATTAAGTACCAGTCTAAACCCATCAGTGATCGTTGTCATGGCGGCGCCCAATGTTTACAGCAGAATAAGGTGGATATGATGAACCCGACCTCAAGATAACGCTTGTTCGACTTCATGCAGCTCTGCGCAGACCGATCGGCGGCTGACTTGAAACAGTGCATGCCGGTTAGAAATTTTGTCCGACTTGATGCAGCGCTGACTCCACGTGACTGTGATGTATGCCATCAAAGTACCGCGAGAGCGATACGAGAGTAGCCGGAGGACTCAGCCAGCGCAGCTTCTCAAGAGCGGCTGCACGAGCTCTGATGATGTCACAGCTGTTCCACGATTCGTCGGATTCAACGCATGACAACAATCACGTGCGTTTCGTGTTTATTCTCGCATATTTAGTTCCACTAAAGCTCACAAATCTGTTTTCTATAACAGTAAACAGTCTTTTCATGTAGTCCCGATATTATATTGTGTCATGTTTATCAGGTTTATCAAAATAAAACTGATTAAAAAACGTTGACTCCACGTCATTGATTATAGGCTTATTTTGAACTTTATTCAAACAGATGCTGTATGAAGCAGTAAAGTGTTGAATGAAAATGTGTCTGAAATATCTGTTTATTTGGCAAATGTTGCATTTATTTCACTTTGCTGTGGTAAAGCATGCAAACACCACGTGAGCCGTCAGTACGGGAACCAGAAATTGTCCGACTTCACGTCTCCATTTGCAGCTCCTCCCCGGTTGCATCCAGCCGCAGGCGATGTCGAACACACCTCATCAGGCAACGAAAAGTGTTTCGTCACAAACCCCGCCCACACACAGGTTACTTCCTGCGTTGATGAAGGGATCTACTAACATCGACATGCAGGTAACGTTAACAGTTTTACTTTTTATACAGTATTTTCGGAGCGTATGATATAACGTAATGATATGCGACACAAAAGGAAGATGTTTTTTGTAAGTGTAGTGTAATTGAGTGTAATTAATAACCATGAGCTGATGTTGAAGAAATCGTTAGTTTCACTTTCAGAAAAACAAAACGAACCTTTGTTGTAGCCTATTGCCTTGAGAATCAATGAATAACTTTCAGTATATTTTCATTGTACAAATGGAATAACTGTTATCAGTTGTTATGAAGTATAAAGGTATAGGAATTTATCATTATTGCATACGTTAAAAGTTCATTTAAAGGTTGTTTTACAAATGTCTCAAGTGTTTGTTTTTTTGTCTTCAAAACAGTTGTTGAGAGATATATTTTAGAATATCAGTGTAGACTGATGCTCAGATACACAGAAAAACAATAATTTAGTTATAATTTTTTAACATCAGAATGAACAATACCTAATTTATTAATCTTCGTTAATATTAAGTTCAACATTTACTATTATTACATTATTAAAATCAAATGATGTATTTGTTAACATAACAACAAACTGTGAACCTACATGAACAAACAATGAACAGCTGTATTTGCATTAACCAACATAGACTAAATACTGTAACAAATAGATCGCTAATTTTTAGTTATTGTTTGTTAATACATTAACTAATGTTAACAGATTAGACCTAATTGTAAAGTGTTACCATATTTTCAAACAACAGCATGTTAAATATGAACATATTATTCATTTTAAGCAATGTACAATCAATATACAATTATTTATACTATTAATACTTGCAATAATACATATTGTACATGTAGTATAGTATTAATCGTATTACTGATTAAGTAAAATCAGTGTTATCTCTCGCAGGACGATGAAAGGACAGACGTCAGGATCCACTGAAGACAGAATATCAAAAACAGTACTAGAACAGAATATCAACATGTCCAGCAGAGGTCAGTCAATATCAGTCATATCAGCCAGTCATTTCTGGTTTAGATATCAACAGCTGGAGAAAACAATCAGAAAACTAGGAGGTTCAGTTCAAACACATCATCATATACACAACCATTGGTTACATTAAACAGGACAGCAGAATGTGTTGAGGAAAAATGCATAAATTAAGTATGATAAAACCTTCAGAAAAGCAACATAAAATAATTAATTAATAATAAAATACATGATCTTTTTGATTACTTAACGAGCATCACACAGATGAATACATGAGCGGATTCCCTCCATCACTGATATAAACATAGAGAGATGAAGACAGAGGATGAGGAGGAAACACATATGTTCATGCTTCCTGGATCATCCACTCATATATTCATATAGTCCAGCTTTTTCATTTAGTTAAATGTAGTTATTAGTTCTGATCTGCAGATTTTACATGCTCTCATGTTTGAGAAGAAACTGAGAGGGAGAAAAACTTGCTGGATTATGGGTTATTTTAACAAAAATGTTTGAATTACACCTTATATAACACTTTTAATGTGCTTTAATGTTCTGCTACACCTTAAAATGTCCATGCAGTAATACCTTTAGAGAATCAATACATTTGATCCGATTTTTTGACCTGTTCTCTCTTTTTTTGTGAAACAAAATGTATTTTCTTGTATTGAATTGTCAAATGTAAGTGTTTTTGTTTCAACAGCTGTTGTCCGTGGTTCGTTTTGCAAAAGAAAAAGCAAAGTGTCACCATCATGTTCAGTTATATTCAGTTCATTAGACTTTTAGTTTGTATTCATTTCTCGTGTTTGCCGCCACTGATCAGTCACCATGAACTCTAATCACATTTATCATTGTTGCTAATCGTTTAGGTAATCGCCACTGTGTATTTAAGTTCCTGTCTGTGTCCCGTCTAGTGTCCGGTATTGTATTGTTTCTGAATTATTTATTAAACTAAGTTGTTACCTTTCAGTCATCTCTGTATTCCCTTGGATCTAAATCGTGACACGAAGACAGTAACAGTTAGATTAGTACTGCCAGTTTTACTCACTTCAAAACAACATTTTAAATTCAAATTTTGAATGATGATGTTGATGCATTAAAACTAAAAATCTTACTGTTATAACATGTTATTCTCATGTGTGTGTTTCAGTGAGTGATCTGAGGGTTGTTCTGCTGGGGAAGAGTGTGTCAGAAAACAGTGAAGTGGGAAACTTCATATTAGGACGAGCAGCGTTTGACAGTGAAGCTCCTCCAGATGTTGTTGAAAGAGTCGGAGGAAGACTGAAGGACAGACGTGTAACCATCATCAACAGTCCTCAGCTGCTCAACACACACATCTCAGATCATCAGATCACGAAGACCGTGAGAGAGTGTGTGTATCTGTCTGATCCAGGACCTCATGTGATCGTTCTGCTCCTCAAACATGATCAGTGTTCAGCAGAAGATCAAGAGTGTGTGGAGAAGGTGCTGGACTCTTTCTCTGAGCAGGTTCATCAACACACCATGGTGCTCACGACACAAGAGCCGACTCAAACCAACGACATCCTACAGAAAATCATTCAGAAATGCTGTAACAGACACTTCAGTCTTCATGGAAACGGCTCTCCTGATGATCTTCTGCAGACGTTTGAGGACATTGTGCAAACGAATGATGGACGGCACCTGGATTGTGCTGAAGCTTCACAGTGTTTGACAATGAAGCAACAGGACACAGAAAGACGTGAGTGTGATGATAAATGATGTTTCTAGTGATAAATGAACAGTTTTTAATTGTTCTTCTATCAGTTTCAGAAGGGTTGAAGCTGAATCTGGTTGTGTGTGGTGTGTCTGGTGTGTGTGTGACCCGAGTCATTGATGTTATTCAGAGTCTAAATCTTTGACTATATACTTTATGTCTTCTGTTAGCATTGGTGATTGTAGCCCTGAGATAAATAAACAAACTGGAGACAAACAAATCAACTCTGAGCATCACAAAACAAGCTACTAAAGTTGTAACAAAACAATAGCAAAATAAAAGCAAACAGAAATAAACAATGAAAATTACAGGACAATTCAGCTGCATTATTTATTATAGTGAGCCATGGATGTGTTTTGATTGGTGGCTCCCATCATGCACTGCAACATGAAGCATTTGTGTGATTGTCACCATTGTTGAGATATATATATGTACATTCTTGATTTTTGTGGATTTTTGTGTGTGTTTTTTTCTTCTACTTTAAGATTATTAAAGATTTACTGGAATTAGCTACTGTAATAAATTATTAAAGCATTTGTATAATCAATTTAAAATGCTGGGTGAGATGAGTGAATAATACATAACCATCATGAACAGGGCTATGTTTCCCATAAACATCTTAAGCCTGACTTGATTGTAGATCAATTGCAATAAATAGTCTGTATGATCAAAATAGGCTTACAATTCTTTCAGGGATTGCAGCCCAGGTCATAGTTTCTCTTGCCACAACAAATGTGCTTTATTAACAGAGTTGGAGCAGCCATAAAAAAACTAATATTAAAAAGTAAAAAGTTAAAGTAAAAAGTTTTTTAATGTTCTTCTTCTTTTAGTTTCAGAGGGGGAGAAGCTGAATCTGGTTGTGTGTGGGAGTGACGGCACATTAAAGTCCTCCATATCAGAGCGGATCCTGCAGCAGAAAGACAGAAGATCAGACATGGATCTTCATGGTCATGTGATCAGTGTGTTGGAGCTTCCAGCTCTGTTCAACACTCGGCTCTCAGAGGAGGAAGTGATGCGTCAGACTCTCCGCTGTGTGTCTCTCTGTCATCCTGGAGTTCATGTTTTCCTCCTCATTATTCCTGATTCACTGAATAATGAAGACAAAGCAGAAATGGAGGAGATCCAGAGGATCTTCAGCTCGAGAATCAACAAACACATGATGATCCTCATAATGCAGAACTCAGAGCATCAGACAGAGGAACTCGATGAAGAAACACAGTCTGTTATTGAGAGGTTTGAAGGACGACATCATTTCTTTGGTCCCACCACACGAGTGTCCACATTGATGGAGAACATTGAGCAGATGCTGGAGGAAAACAGAGGAGAGTTTTTCTCCACAGAGACATTTCTGGAGGATATATGGAAGAAATATGAAGAGATGAAGAAGAAAATTCATTCACAAGAGACACTTTTAGTGTCACAAGGTAATGACCAGAAATTATTTGAATATTCAAATTACATGAAATATTTGATTATTATATGTATTATTATTTGAATTTTATATATTTCTGTTTTTAAACAACAGATCTTGCAACTTTTCAACATTCCAGAATTAAAAAAAAAAAAGTCAAATTTGAAACCCAAACATTTTGATTATACAAATACAATAAAAAACGATCATAACTAACTACTACAATTCTCTGGAACAGTGAAGCTGAAAGATAATTGTTTTATTTGAAGTAAATGTATAAAATGTAAAGGTAAGGTTATTAATCTCTTTCAGTTATGGAAAAGGAAAGGGGCACATCACTCTAATTTTAATTGGTATAACTGTAAAAATAAACTTGTTTGACATTAAAATAGTAAAACAGGTCAAAAGTGGAATAATTTATGAAAAAAAGTGAAATTTCATATCTTCATCTTACCCCAATTCCCCTGTTGATCTTGTCAGTTGAATAAATGAAGATGGTTTCTTAAGTTTCTGTATGATTTGTTTTTGTTTTTAATGCTTTTTAATATTTTACATTTTCAGGCTCACAAAAAAACACAGATGAATTGAGGATTGTCCTGCTGGGAAAAACTGGAGTTGGGAAAAGTGCGACTGGAAACACAATCTTAGGAAGAAAAGCGTTTACAGCAGAAATATCTCAAGAGTCCGTGACTAAAGAGAGTCAGAGAGAAACATCTGACATCAACGGCCGACACGTTACTGTGATCGACAATCCAGGACTGTTTGATACTAAACTCACTAATGAAGAGATCCAGAGAGAAATCAGACACTGCATCTCCATGATCCTGCCTGGACCGCATGTGTTCATCATTGTGCTCAATTTAGGACAACGGTTCACTCAAGAAGAAGCAACTACAGTGAAGATCATCCAGGAGACGTTTGGAGAGAAATCTTTAATGTTCACCATGGTGCTCTTCACCAGAGGAGACGATCTGAAGGACAAAACCATTGACCAGTGTTTGGGAAAACCTGGATCTCCTCTGATGAACCTGATCGAAGCGTGTGGAAACAGATATCATGTGTTCAACAATAATCAGACTGGAGACCGAATACAGGTGTCTGATCTACTGGAGAAGATAGACCACATGGTGAACGCAAACGGAGGGAGTTTCTACTCCTGTAAGATGTTCAGAGAGATGGAGAGAGAACAACAAGAACAACAGATGAAGATCTTGATGGACAGAGTCAGAGAAACAGAAGAACTGGTGAACAAACTAGAAGAAGAGATGAGACAAGAACGAGAGACACTCACAAATGAAATTGATCAAATTAGGCAACAAAAAGAGAAAATAAAAACAGAAAAAGATCACCTGCAGATCAAATACGACACAGAGACGGAACGACTGATGAACGGAATAGAGAACGAGAGGAAGAAAAGAGAAGAATATATAGAAAGAGAGGAACACTATAAAACACAAATACAAGAGAAAGAAAGAGAGATACGAAACAAGATGAGACAAGAAATAGAGCAAACAAGGCAAGAAAAAGAGAAAATAAGAACAGAAAAAGAAAACCTTCAGACCAAATACAACACCGAAATAGTCAGAGTGATCAACAGAATAGAGAATGAATGACAGAATCACGACAAAGAGAGAAAGAGAAGAGAAGAAGAATTTAATGCAAGAGTAGAACATTATAAAACACAATTGAAAGGGAAAGAGAGAGAGATCCATGAGATGAAGAGAGAACGAAGGGAATGGGAGAGAGAGAAACTAGAGGAAAAGACAAAAAGAGAAGAAGAGGATGAGAAAAGAAAAGAGAAAGAACAGAGAGTCTGTGATGAATTTAATCAGAAAGTGAAAGAAGAGAGAGAGAGAATGGAAAGAGAGAAAGAAGATCTTCAATCTAAACATGAAGCAAAAGAAAACAAGATGAAGATCCTGATGGAGGAGAAAGTGGAGAGAGAACGAGAAGAACTGATGAAGAAACATGAAGAAGAGAAAGAGAGCATGAAGATGATGATGATGGAGAAACTGGAAAACCTGGACAGTGAACGAGAAGAACTGATGAAGAAACTAGAAGAGAAAGATAAAATTAAAATGAAGATGGAGGAAGAACTGCAGAATCGAGAGAAAGAGAGAAAGAGAAGAGAAGAAGCGTTTAATGAGAGAGAAAAGCAATATAAAAGATACATCAAAGAGAAACAAGAGAGTGAGGAGAAGATGCGTGAGGAGATGAAGAGAGGACGAGAGGAATGGGAGAAACAGAAACTAGAGGAAAAGAAGAGGAGAGAAGAAGAAGATGAGAAAAGAAGAGAGAAAGAACAGAGAGTCTGTGATGAATTTAATGAGAGACTAAAAGAAGAGAGAGAGAGAATGGAGAGAGAGAAAAAAGATCTTCAAGCTAAACATGAAGCAAAAGAAAACAAGATGAAGATCCTGATGGAGGAGAAAATGAACAGAGAACGAGAAGAACTGATGAAGAAACAGGAAGAAGAGAAAGAGAGAATAAAGATAGGGATAATGGAGAAACTGGACAGAGAACGAGAAGAACTGATGAAGAAACTAGACGAAGAGAAAGAGAAAATGAAGATGATGGAGGACGAACTTCAGAATCAAGAGAAAGAGAGAAAGAGAAGAGAAGAAGAGTTCAATGAGAGAGAAAAGCAATATAAAAGAGAAATGAAAGAGAAAGAAGAGAGTGAGGAGAAGATGCGTGAGGAGATGAAGAGAGGACGAGAGGAATGGGAGAAACTAGAAGAAAAGATGGAAAGAGATGAAGAGGATGAGAAAGAACAGGGAGAATGTGATGAATTTAATCAGAAAGTGAAAGAAGAGAGAGAGAGAATGGAAAGAGAGAAAGAAGATATTCAAGCTAAACATGAAGAGGAAGAAAACAAGATGAAGATCCTGAGGGAGGAGAGAGTGGAGAGAGAAAGAGAAGAACTGATGAAGAATCATGAAGAAGAGAAAGAGAGAATGAAGATGAGGATGGAGGAGAAAGTGGAGAACCTGGACAGAGAACGAGAAGAACTGATGAAGAAACTAGAAGAAGAGAAAGATAAAATGAAGATGATGGAGGACGAACGACCGAATCATGACAAAAAGAGAAAGAGAAGACAATCGATTAATGAGAGCAAAACACAGAATACAATGGAAACCAATGAGACGGAAGAACTGATGAAGAAACATGAAGAAGAGAAGAGAATGAAGATGATGATAGAGGAAGCGTGGAGGAACCAGAGTGAGATGCGTGAGGAGACGAAGAGAGAACCAGAGGAATGGGAGAAACAGAAACAGCAAAGTCCAGCAAACCGTGAGTAGAAATTATAGCTTAATTAGAGAGGCCATATTTACACTTGCTACGATTGTTTTCAGCGCTGTTGAAATAGTTCTGCTCTGATTCTGCATTCACAATCAATACAGCATTCATGCCAAGATAAGTCTTGAAAAGCTTCATTCACTTGGCTAAAAACAGATTACTCATACAGTTGAAAACTGTAATAAAGATTTTTCTAATCGACTAGATGTTGTAGCAGCTCATAATGTAAAATAATATATTTAATTAAAATAAGTAAAATAATAATTAAATAAACTAAATACAAATACTCACTATACTTCTCACAGGAAGGAAAAATGGATTTTGCAATGTTGCTTTGACGCATCCAGTGTAGACAGTATGTTTCCATCCAAAGTTGTGAATTTAAATACATCACTAATGGTGTGTTCACACCGAACGCGAATTTAATTACTTGCGCGAGTAGATTATACAAAGCCAATGCAAGGACGCGAATAGACGCATCATTCCCGCTGGGTGTTGCGAATGACGCGAATTGGGCGGCGCGTTTGCCGCGAATGTCTTCCGCGCAAGTTGAAAAATTTAATCAAGCGTTAGTAGTCGCGATAGACGCGTATTTGGCGCTCTATTCGCGTTCGGTGTGAACACACCATAAGAAGTATATTCATATGTATATAATATTTTTTTTATATAATAAACTTGCATAATGCAATAATAATCTTGAGTTCGGAGGCGTAAGGCTGCTGTTTGGGAAGACAGTTCTGGGTCAAAATTATACTGAACCACTTTGACGAAAGACTTTTCTCAGGCATTTCAGAACCACAGAAACAGCATTTCAGATGCTGTGCAACAATATTGTTCTGCTGGTTAGTCCAGTTATGCCGTCACATGAATTTTTTTGTGTTAAGGGTTAATGCCCTCCGAGGTGTCCAATGGACATGGTGGTTTTAATGGACGACGGCGAGGCGTAAACCGGCCGATGCGCAGTGGAGGACGGTTGCCTCCGCCGAAGTCCATTAAAACCTGACAATGGACACCTCGAAGGGCATTAACCCGCTTATACCATGGTCACTTGCCAAATAAAACATTTTTAAAACATTAGCTGCTAGTTTATATTTTAATTAGGCTAAATCTAGTTTTTACAAATCGAATAACTTGCCTGCCCAGACAGCAAACTGACATTGAATCAACGTGGAAACGATGTCTCTCATGACATTGAAACAACGTTGATTTGCTCATCGAATTAACGTTGAACCAACGTCAGACGCGGCATTCTTCAAAGCTAAATGAAATCGAAAATTGGTTTGCTTTCATAACGTTGAAACAACGCATTGATTTCAAGTTGATTTTCCGTTAGTTTTGAAAGAATGACGCGTCTGACGTTGGTTCAACGTTAATTCGATGAGCAAAACAATGTCAGATCAACGTTGTTTCGATGTCATATTTCCACGTTGATTCAATGTCAGTTTGCTATCTGGGTGGTTTATTTAGCAACCGGAGATATTTATAGTCCGCTCAGCTTGTAGAACCCTTCAGGTTCAAAAATGCATTTTTTTTTATGAAACACAAAGGTAGGCATAGTTGTTTTTTTATTACACATAACACATAAAACAATCAAACAGGCTTCTTAGGCTTGAAACGCTGTACTCTCCTCCTGCCTTGGTTGTCTGGACTGCTGCGTAAAACTCCCGCAGGTCTCATTCAGAGCAGCAGCGGTTTAATTTTCTTTGCGACGTTTCTCCGTTTTATTTAAATTTTTTCTTTCTTCAGCCGCATCCCAGTCGTCAAAGTTGTCATATTCTCCATAAATGTTAAAAGAAATAACGAAGTCGTTCATTTTTGTATTAGTAGGCTATGTAATATCTAACTAACGTTAGATGTTTGTTTTGATAGAGCAAATTGTTAACGGATACTTTGACTGCCTGTTGCTATGGTTACTCACAGCTGTTGTAGGCAGCGCATTTATTTATTAATTTCGAATGGTAAACAGGCAGTTTCACCAGAACTACTTTACTAGGTGTCCTCTATCACTTTTTAACGGACACCCTGCAGCCAATCAGAATCGAGTATTCACCCAGACCATGGTATAATGCATGTTAACGGCAGTATATTAGAATAGTACGTTAGAGCACTGTGTAAAGTACATGTCGAGGTTAAATAAGTGATTGTGTGATCTTTTTTCATACAGTGCCAAACATACAGCAAAGAGTGTCTGCTGTCATTCCCCCAGTCTCCAGACGGATTGTTCTTCTGGGTAGGAGTGGTGTTGGGAAGAGTGCAGCTGGAAACACAATACTGGGACGAAAAGAGTTTAAATCAATTGCCAAGAAATGTTCAGCTGCCCGCGCCACTGTTTCACGCAGATCTGTGTCTGTAGTTGACACTCCTGGATTATTCGACACACTGCTGCATCCTGATGAGTTAATGAAGGAGAAAACAAGAAGCATTCATTTATCCAGTCCTGGCCCGCACGCTTTCCTCATCGTGTTTCCTGTGAGTATGAGGATCACTGAGGAGGATCAGCAGATTCTTCAGATGATTGAGATGATGTTTGGAGAAGAAGTGTTAAAATACTCCATCATTCTCTTCACTCATGGAGATCAGCTAGAAGGAAAGGCCATAAAGAATCTCATTAAGCAGAACAGTGCTTTAAACAGTCTAGTTGGTCAGTGTGGAGGCAGATATCACGTCTTCAACAATACAAACATGAGAAGAAGAAAGCAGGTGAATGATCTACTGAAGAAGATTGACACAATGGTAGAGCAGAATGGAGGAGGACACTACAGTAATGACACACTTCCAGATGGTCACATCTTAAGACAAGAAGAGGAACAGCAGAAATAGAGAGAGGAAAAAGAGAGAAAATAACAAGAGAAACAAAGGCAGATCTGTGTATGTAGTTGATACTGGATTCACTGACACAAATGAAACCTGAGTTTGGTCAGGAGGTGTTAAAGCACTCCATCATTCTCTTCACTCATGGAGATCTGCTTTAGTTTAGGCCTATAAATAGACCAAAGGTCAAGTTATAGTTTTTTGGTGTGTGTAATACTATACTCATAACCAACAAATACTTACACTCTAAAAAATGCTGGGTTGTTTTAACCCAATTTTGGGTCAAATGTTGGGTTAAAAATGTAATGTAAAAATTTAACCCAACGGCTGGGTTAGTCCATATTTGACCCAAAGTTGGGTTAAAACAACCCAGCATTTTTTAGAGTGTATATTTAAAAAAAAATAAAAATAATAATTTTTAATTAAATATTTAAAATTAATTTTATTCTGATGTTTATTTATTTGTCGCTGTATAATATTTGTTTCACAAATTGCGGTGCTATATGTTTGTAACTTAAATAACAGTGATGAATTGTTCTCTTTTAAAATGTTTGATTTTAAAACTGATATCATGTTTTATGTGTAAAAATATGGGTGAATAAACTCTCTGACAGTGCCATATGGGTTATATTGTGTGTTGTCATTTTTATTAAAACAATATAAAAACGCGTCTGTATTAAATAAAAAATGATTGATAAACACATATTTGGAATGTAATTAAATAACAAGTACTTTGGGTGTCTTGTTCATTATATTTATTTTCATATAAAAGCAACAGAACTTAAATCACATCCAGTTTATTAGCAACACGTGCACGAGCGTGAATCTGCGCCTTTTTCACTCCTCCCCTCACTGCAGCCGCGCCTATCTCATCTCAAATAAGCCTAGTGTAGATGTCTCTGTCATACTCAACGAGATTTGGCTATAAAGTACAGGGTGCTTTTTTACAAGGACACGACTGAAAGTAATCCGCAGTAAGGGCTAGCGCAAAATGCGGCATCGGCATCTCGAAGCGGCACTTCCGGCGGCATCTCCAGCGGTCACGAGTGTAGCGGCATCTCCAGCGGCCATCAGTGCAGCGGCATCTCCAGCGGCCAGACACTCAAATGATACTCGAAGTTTACTCAAAGATGACTTATTAATTTCAATATATTTAAAGTTGACTATGCCTCCTCCGTATGGATAGAAAATTGTTATAGCCTACGAGACATAAATTCAGATAGGCTTCTCAGAGGTTACTCAGAGGTTTTCATAATAATTAATGAAATAATGATATAAAATATAATGTCTCTTCTGTATTAGAAAAATAAATATATAATATAGCCTATAATAAATAGCCCTAACTATAAGAAATATCTCCAAATTGAACGAAAATAGCTCTCACAAACTCACAAAAACGAACTAAAATATATATTTTTATATCTTTAGTTTTCTTCCTCTTCATCCTGTTTTTCTTCCTCATCCTACTTGTTTGTCCATCTATATTTTGCAGTAGAGCTGATCTTTCCCAGCAGTTTTTTTTGAAAACCATGGACATTTTCATCACTTTATAAAAAAAAATAAAAATAAAAAACAGACAGGACGTGAAAACATGCATGTCCTAGTAGCCTAATGAGACAGGCTATGTAACGTTATAGGTTTCCAGCAAGAAGTGTCAAAATCAATATAATGTTTCAGAAAAGGCTATTTATTAAATATTAATTTGACATTTTATTAAATAAGAATATAAACGGTTATTCTGTTAATACAGAAATGCGTCCAGTTAACACAGAAATTACTTTATGGTGTGCTGCAAAATTCTGATATTAATACAAATAAGCTGTAGGCCTACAAAGCTGAAATTGCGGCGGCATCTCCAACAGCCAGTGCCTCGTAGCGGCATCTCCAACAGCCAGTGCCTCGTACCGGTATCTCCAGCAGCCAGTGCCTCGTAGCGGCATCTCCAGCAGCCAGTGCATCGTAGCGGCATCTTCAGCAGCCAGTGCTTTGTAGCGGCATCTTCAGCAGCCAGTGACTCGTACCGGTATCTCCAGCAGCCAGTGCCTCGTAGCGGCATCTCCACCAGCCAGTGCCTCGTAGCGGCATCTCCAGCAGCCAGTGCATCGTAGCGGCATCTTCAGCAGCCAGTGCTTTGTAGCGGCATCTTCAGCAGCCAGTGCATCGTAGCGGCATCTTCAGCAGCCAGTACCGCGTACCGGCATCTCCAGCAGCTAGTGACTCGTAGCGGCATCTCCAGCAGCTAGTGACTCGTAGCGGCATCTCCAGCAGCCAGTGCCTCGTACCGGCATCTCCAGCAGCCAGTGCCTCGTACCGGTATCTCCAGCAGCCAGTGACTCGTAGCGGCATCTCCAGCAGCCAGTGCATCGTAGCGGCATCTTCAGCAGCCAGTGACTCGTAGCGGCATCTCCAGCAGCCAGGGCTTCGTAGCGGCATCTCCAACAGCCAGTACCGCGTACCGGCATCTCCAGCAGCCAGTGACTCGTAGCGGCATCTCCAGCAGCTAGTGACTCGTAGCGGCATCTCCAGCAGCCAGTGCCTCGTACGGTATCTCCAGCAGCCAGTGACTCGTAGCGGCATCTTCAGCAGCCAGTGACTCGTAGCGGCATCTTCAGCAGCCAGTGACTCGTAGCGGCATCTCCAGCAGCCAGGGCTTCGTAGCGGCATCTCCAACAGCCAGTACCGCGTACCGGCATCTCCAGCAGCTAGTGACTCGTAGCGGCATCTCCAGCAGCTAGTGACTCGTAGCGGCATCTCCAGCAGCCAGTGCCTCGTACCGGTATCTCCAGCAGCCAGTGACTCGTAGCGGCATCTTCAGCAGCCAGTGACTCGTAGCGGCATCTTCAGCAGCCAGTGACTCGTAGCGGCATCTCCAGCAGCCAGGGCTTCGTAGCGGCATCTCCAACAGCCAGTACCGCGTACCGGCATCTCCAGCAGCTAGTGACTCGTAGCGGCATCTTCAGCAGCCAGGGCTTCGTAGCGGCATCTCCAACAGCCAGTACCGCGTACCGGCATCTCCAGCAGCCAGTGACTTGTAGCGGCATCTCAAACAGCCAAAACTTTGTCCAGCTGTGGCTGCTGCCAAAGTAAGTGTGATGATAAAACTTTCTGATTAATTAGTTGTTTCTGTGCAGAGGAAATTAAATCCAAATAGTTTTTTTTTTTAATAAAAACTTGGGCTAACTGAACATCTTACTCGCACGTGAAAAATTATAATTACTAATTTTAAAGGTTTTTACATAGAGAACTGCTAATGAATTAGAAACTCACCAAAATAAAGCCTAATTGTAATTTTATTTAACATTTGTTATTCTTCAAATTAAATCGTTTTAGCTATTACATTTATTAAACATTTATTAAAAACATATCTAGGCCTACTGTAGCCTACAATTGAACAACATATGTTTTTTATAAATATGTGTCTTTTATATTAGGCTATAATTAGTAAGGAATATGCTATTTAATAATTATGTTGGCCTATTATACATAATCAGAATACTTGCAATCTCCGATTTTTATTTAATCATGTTAAAATCATTACATGATTGTTTCCCGTTCCTCATAAACACTGATTGTTGGAAATTGCAGCTACATAGTTATCAGATTAGTTTGTCAGAAGATAAGCGGAACCACTTTTATAGGCAGATTTTGCGTTTTGATCATTAAACCTATAGCCCACCTGCCACCAAATTCCAACCCTAGAGGGCACCAAAGCTATATTGTAAAAGTTATCACTGTTTTCGATCAAAACGAATATCGACGATGGCGTTCCCTGTGTGAGTTACATTTCAAAATAATTGAAACAAAGGGGGGGGGGGGATGTCTGTCGGGGGTATTGGATTGGGAAACAACAATGTTAGTTCTGCACAGGTTCACTCCGATGTAGATTCATTAATTGTCCTGTGCTGGTTCTGTGTCGCAGTGTTGGTTTATGCACTTGGACCCTAACCTTTTGTGTGTGTGTCATGACAGAAGGACTCAACCATGAATGGATCCAGCAGAATGGGGCCTCTGGAAACTTTATTTTATTATTTTGCCTTGGCTGCTCGTAGGACTAAGGAGACCATGGCAGCCAACCGTAAGGCCAACCACCTCATCACCAAAGAAGGAGAAGGAGGTCGGCGTCCACCTTCCCTAAAGGCCCAAAGGCCGTCCCCGAGCAGCCTGCTGTCTTCCCCGAGGACATACCCGAGCAGCCCATCATCAGTCCTTCCACGGCCAAGACAGCGGTCTTCTTTTTTTATGTGTTGGCGATTCTGCATGCATGGAGGAAGCACACGTCTGCCGATTCAGAGACTGCTCACGTCACATCTGCTTATCCAGAGACTGTTTACGTCACGTCTGCCGATTCAGGGTCTCCGGACAAGATGGCCACCGCAGACCTAAGGTGTGTTTCTTTTCCTGAGCCGGCGTCTGTTGCTGTTCCTGAGCTGGTGTCTGTTCTGTTTCTGCCCCATGGCCATCAAAGTGGTCGCTGTCGCTTGCACAGCAAGATCTGCCCTGGGCGCCTGAGGGAAGATCTCCGCCATGGCCGCCCGAGTGGTCGTCTTCGCCCTGGCCGTCTCCGTCATGCCTGCTCGAAGAGCCTGCCCCGTCCAGCCGCCTGCACAGCCAGATCTGCCCTGGCCACCTGAGGGAAGTTCTCTGCTCTGGCCGTCCCATGGGTTGTCTGCTTCGCCTTGGTCGCTCGATGGACTGTCTGCTTCGCCCTCGCCGTTGGCTAAGCCGTCAACTGCTGCTCCTGTTCCCCTTCATGGACCTGGCCCCCCATCCCGTCCCCTGAGCCTCCACCATTCCACCTCCAGCCTGGACTCTTGTTTTGTTTGTTTCCATGTCTTGGAGCGTCTGGTAGCCGCTCCGTAGAGGGGGGGTTATGTCACAATGTTCCCTGGTGTCCACTAGAGGTCCTCTTCCACCACGGTGTCTTTCACTCAGACTACAATTCCCATCATCCTCATTGATTGCGAACCACTCATCCTCAACCACTCATTGATTATTGCACATAGCTGTTTCCCATCATCTGTGTGTATACATGTATATAGCCTGTTTGTTTCTGTGATTGACGTCAAATCCTTGTTTAATGTTACTGCACTTCGGAGATCTGTTCTTGTTTTGTTTCCTGTTTCTGGACTGCCTTTGCATGATTTTGAAGCTTTGCCTGGCGACTACAATTTTGGATTACCCCAATAAATACCACTGCACTTGGACCCTAACATTTTGTGTGTTTGTTGTGACATTATGAATGTGTGTTTTGTCAAGAAAAGGAACTTGCGAATAAGAACCATCTTTACAGAAGACATCTCAGAGATGCCATATACTTTTCAGAAAACAACCTGTATGCACTAAAGCTGAACTACAGAGAGATGTCTTCTGAGATTTTGTATTTTTAAATTGGTTATATAATGCATTTCATGAATTTCATTGACTTATTTTTACGGAAAATTTTGTGGTGGCCTGTTTGTGCAAGGACAGGAAACAAACTTCCAGAAGCCATTACCATTGCCCACTTTGTAGATTTCAAACTTTTGCATGGTCATCCAACTTAATAAAATATTTGAAATGCATACATGGTAGGTTGTTACTGTGGCATCTTGTACCATATTCATCTTTAACATCACTGCATTAAACCCACCCAAAGAATGTTACAGAGGGACAGACAATCGTAGGAGTAATTATGCTAATGTATTTTTATTGACAGGGCATTATACAAATGGTAACACTTTTTACAATTCGGTTTCATTTTTTAACATTAGTTAATGTATTATTAACTAACATGAACTACACATTTGTTACAGTGTTTATTACTCTTAGTTAATGATAGTTTAGAAAAATACAGCTATTCAAATTAGCATTAAAGGATAAGTTCATAAAATTGCCTAATAATTTGCCCACACCGATGTCATCGAAGATATGCATGTCTTTCTAACTTCATTGGAAAAGAAATTAAGATTTTTGATGAAAACATTTCAGTATTTTTCTACCCAAAATTGACTGTAATGGTACTCAACTATTCCAAGGTTCAAAGAAGGTTCAAATGTCCATGTCTGCAGCTTCAGAGTCTCTACACAATCCCAGTCGAGAAATAAGGGTCTTATAGCAAAACCATCGGTCACTTTCTAAAAAACAAACAAACAAACATTTATTTACTTTTGACCACAATTGTTCGTCTTGTGCTGGTCTGCGAGAAGCCGGAAATTACATAGAAAACTTTGTTTTACATATAATTTAAACTAGCATGGGCATTTTGATAAATAAAAAATAAAATAAAATAAAAATAAAAACACTTGATGGCATAACATATAAACATGGAGCCTGACTGTCTTATTTTCACAATATCTACAGTATCTCCTGCAGGTATTGCAGCTGATAAAAAGGTAGTATACAGCATTCATTGTTTCCACTATTTTTCTTTGAATAAATACATAATTTAATTGTAAAATATGACATTTTTAAAAGGCTTATGATGTTCTGTTGTGGTGATTTGTGTTTATATGTGACATGCTATGTGTTCTGTGCAGTGTTTATTGTTTGTTTGTTTGTTGTTTCTTGCTCCATAGTTTATCTTTTTTTTACATGTTATTGTTCTCTTTTGTCTCCTCTGCATTTTTGTCTATTTCTCTATTTTTTGTCTATGTTTGTGTTTAAGTGCAATTTATGAAAACATTTTTTTACAACAAGATAGGACTTTGAAAAGTTCATGAGTTAATAAAAGAAAGGTCAAATTCTTTGCGAGATTTGAGGAGGGGTGAGTCCTGCTCAACAGTAAACAAATGAGCTGACTTGAGTTCAGGAAATAGTGTAGCTGTGCATAGAGCCAATTCATGTTTTATATTTTGTACACGTTATCCATATGGCGCCCTGTTCGTTCTTCTGTTCCCAAAGGCCCCATCATGTAATTTCTCATTAAAATGTAGCATTTATTTATCTACTGTTTGTCCTTGTGTTTTATTCTCGGTTTCACGTTTGTCCTGTTGTTATATCCATAACTAACTCATCAACTAAATCATTAACTCACTGATGGCCGCTGGAGATGCCGCTGACTGATGGCCGCTGGAGATGCCGCTACACTCGTGACCGCTGGAGATGCCGCCGGAAGTGCCGCTTCGAGATGCCGATGCCGCATTTTGCGCTAGCCCTCTCTCGTAATCCGACAGATGACCAAGGCATTTGTTGCCGTTAAATCACAGAGAAGAGGAAACCTGCTTCGGTTCGCCTTTTGTCTCCTCTCATCAAAATGCTGATCAGGTTGTACTGCTACTGTTCATACAGACAATCAACGCTCCAAAACCTTTTCTGTTAGGTAAGTAAAAAAAAAAGAAGAAGATTTTAAACTAACTCGGATGTTAACTTGTGTAACGTAGGCTATGAGTCAGCACATTCGCTATATTTGTGTGTGCATGATGTTGCAGTCCAGCACTCTCTGTTTCTTTCTCACTCGACGGAACATGTTGGTTATCAAAATTGTAAAGAAAGTAACTAAAAAATAATGTTAAAAACAAAATATATATGCAGTTTTTCCCAATACTGAAATTAGCATTGTTGTTGTTATCAGAGCGTACCACACCTCTAGGACTGTCCCATCAAACGCTTTACATACTCTAATCAACTTTGCTTCTTGTTAGTTCAATACTAGTAGCCTACTAGCACAATATTTACTTCTGGTAATTTGTAAATGCAAGTCTGCAGACAGTATGCAGTTATTTGTTAAGTTTATTTATTATTTGTTCAAGTCTGCATAGCAGTTCATTATTTGATGCAAGATTAAAAGCCACCATGAAAATGTCCTAAAGGCAACCCTTTACTGTCTCAAAGTATTTTTATTGTAAAATTAATGACAGATTTAAAGATTTGTGTGTGTACGTGCAAGCTTCTCAAATAAATTGCCCTTCATGATGGGAATAATAAAGTCTGTATTAATCTAACGGCCAAAATTCAGTCTAAATGAACGCATCACTGGATTATTATTGTAATATTGTCTGTAATTTACATGCAGGTTGAAGCTACTTATTGTTTCTAACTGCATCCAGTACAGACAGGAGGTTGTTTTTTATGTATGTCATTTTGGCCACTTTATATAGAAAATAATTAGTTTGATTTCTGTTATTAATAAATATTTAATTTTCTTTTTTGTTATGATAAAAAGAGCAAGAGAGGCCGAGAACCGCACACTGACTCCCTGGAATGATGCTAAGTCATTAACAACAATGACTTAACAACATTAGCAACAATGTTGCTCGCCTTCTTCACTGGGTGGTGCTGCTGACTCATCTGTTGTTAAGTCTGCTAAAGGGGCATGGGCAATGATTTAATATGAATATCTTGCTAAACTGCACTGTTTCCCTGCACTGATTAAATGTTGATGAAATGTAGGCTAACACTAGCCTGCAGCTAGCTAGCTTATTTCACTATGGACTCACTCACAAACCACCTTTCTTGGTGAAAAGCTGGGTTACAGACTGACACCCTTTCTTTTGTCTTTTCGCTCTCCTTTTTTGAAAAACAGATTTCTTTTACTATACAACATTGTGGTCTCTGTGTTTCTGGTGCATCGACTGACTGCAACTTCTTCTGTATTTTCTTTTTTTCTTTTCTTTCTATTTTTTTTTTTTTTTTGGCAGTTACTGACCGTTTGGACATAATACGAGACAGAGTTCTTTATTAAACTCATACTCAAACTCAAACTCATAAAAGAAACAATAATTACAGGAATAGCCTACTGGACTCTAAACCTCAAAGAAATGCCACAATCAAGACCTCGGAGCAGAAATGAGGAGAAACACCCAGGAACTTTGTGTATTTCCCTCCTATTAATGCTTGGATAACACACCACGTCTCCTTCCATTAATAATTATAATACTACCCAGATAGCAAACTGACATTGAATCAACGTGGAAACATGACATCGAAACAACATTGATCTAACATTGTTTTGCTCATCGAATTAACGTTGAACCAACGTCAGACGCGTCATTCTTTCAAAACTAACGGAAAATCAACTTGAAATCAACATTGTTTCAACGTTATGAAAGCAAACCAATTTTCGATTTTCATTTAGCTTTGAAAAATGCCGCGTCTGACGTTGGTTCAACGTTAATTCGATGAGCAAAATCAACGTTGTTTCAATGTCATGAGAGACGACGTTTCCACGTTGATTCAATGTCAGTTTGCTGTCTGAGTAATGTCTAGTGCGGTGGCTGTGATATAGGCTATAAACCTACCAACGTCCGTTGCCATGATTTTTGGAATGACTTATCGCGAGAGGAAAAAAAGACGTTTTAGTCGCATAACATCGGTTAATGGAAACGCTGTCATTTCGCAATAGTTTTTTGTCGACATTTAGAAAGAAAAAAAAATCGCAAAAGTTTTGCACAAATCTGTAATGGAAACGCACCTAATTGCGAGCGAAAGAGAGAGAATGTTGTTGCAGCTGGAGCTAATCGACGTTGAACAACAAATCTGACCAATCACAACTCTTTTTTTTTGGAGGTGCATGTCGAGCTACGGCGGAGGGGTCGGAGAGGGGTTCGCGGCAATGCAGAAGGGTCTGCGGGGGTATGCTGTCGATTCGACGCAGAAGCATAAAACAGGCTTTACACACAGCCTAAGAGATGACCACTAAATCAAACCATTTAAAGACAACACCTGCAATTATCCCCGACTGTGAAGATAATGGTACCCACGAATTGTAAAAAAAAAAAAAAAATCACGTGAGCACAAGACCTAAGACAGATATTCACACATAGTTTGACTTTCACTAGGAAGAGCAAAGACTGACAACTTTTTTTAGTTTCATTCACTGGAAACCGTATTGAATCTAATCAGTAAATTGATGTCATCATCTTCACCTTGAATGCCCAATACAGTGTGCAGTTAGTTCACCTTAGTTTTTTATGTGATGTTATGCAAGGATTTAGGATCAGCAGATCTTAAACAGATTCTTAAATTTGTAATCCCACAGTTGTTATCAGTGTTGTAGTCGAGACCAGTTCACTCGAGTCCAAGTCGAGACCGAGACCAGAGAGAGTCGAGTCTGAGTCGAGACCGAGACCAGAGAGAGTCGAATCCGAGTCGAGACCGAGACCAGAGAGAGTCGAATCCGAGTCGAGGCCAAGACCAGAGAGAGTCGAATCCGAATCGAGACCGAGACCAGAGAGAGTCGAGTCTGAGTCGAGACCGAGACCAGAGAGAGTCGAATCCGAGTCGAGGCCGAGACCAGAGAGAGTCGAATCCGAGTCGAGACCGAGACCAGAGAGAGTCGAGTCCGAGTCGAGACCGAGACCAGAGAGAGTCGAATCCGAGTCGAGACCGAGACCAGAGAGAGTCGAATCCGAGTCGAGACCGAGACCAGAGAGAGTCGAATCCGAGTCGAGACCGAGACCAGAGAGAGTCGAGTCCGAGTCGAGACCGAGACCAGAGAGAGTCGAATCCGAGTCGAGACCGAGACCAGAGAGAGTCGAATCCGAGTCGAGGCCAAGACCAGAGAGAGTCGAATCCGAATCGAGACCGAGACCAGAGAGAGTCGAGTCTGAGTCGAGACCGAGACCAGAGAGAGTCGAGTCTGAGTCGAGACCGAGACCAGAAGAGAGTCGAATCCGAGTCGAGGCCGAGACCAGAGAGAGTCGAGTCCGAGTCGTGGCCAAGACCAGAGAGAGTCGAGTCTGAGTCTAGACCGAGACCAGAGAGAGTCGAGTCCGAGTCGAGACCGAGACCAGAGAGAGTCGAATCCGAGTCGAGACCGAGACCAGAGAGAGTCGAATCCGAGTCGAGACCGAGACCAGAGAGAGTCGAATCCGAGTCGAGACCGAGACCAGAGAGAGTCGAGTCCGAGTCGAGACCGAGACCAGAGAGAGTCGAGTCCGAGTCGAGACCGAGACCAGAGAGAGTCGAGTCCGAGTCGAGACCGAGACCAGAGAGAGTCGAATCCGAGTCGACTGAGACCAGAGTGGCTGGATAACCTAAGGTTGGGTCTCAAACCAGACTTAAAGATATCTTCAAGAATGTGTAAAATATTTGGTGGTAACAATAAAATTGGCACCATACTCAAACAGTAAACCAATATACCATGGAATCATGTGCACTGTAATGGTAAAAAGGTCACATAGTGGTGTAAAGGTAATTTAATTATAATTATTACTTACAATTATTACAATCAGTAAGTGCTCTTTCACATTACATTAATATACATGAATTCTGTGTGGCTCTAATATGCAAACTGAATTAAGGATGATAAGACAGACATTTTCAATACATAGTTGAGCTAGAGGCTCCACATCACATCTGACCTGGGTCCTGCTGCATTTGCGTGCCGTGAACATTATAGTCTTAAATCATGTGCAGTTGCGCACAAGAAAGTCAGCAATCATTGGGCGTTTCAATCAAACAACAATTCAAAGAAATATTAACATTCACGACAGTAATAATCATGACATATTTTGAATGGGACTCGAGTGGACTCGGGAATAAGTCCGAGTCCCGACTCCCAATATGTTCGAGTACGAGTCAATTCCGAGTCAAAATTGCACACGAGTCCATGACAAGACCGAGTCCTCTAAAATATGGACTCGAGACCGAGTCCGAGACCGAGTCCGAGTCTCGAGTGCACAACACTGGTTGTTATTATATTTGTATTTTAAGTAATTTTAAAGACTGTTGTTGTCACACAGAAGGGGACAGACAGCTTTAATTGAATACAGTGTTTATTAACAGCAGAGTGGTGGTGGAGCAACTGAAACAGGATGATGGTGACTTGTAGAATGATGATGGTGGTAACTGAAGTGGATATCTGTGCAGGTGACGAGTGAACGCACAGACAGGTGATCTGGATCAGGATGACGGACAGAAGACGGACTGAAGACTGCAAAGAGGACAATAAGATCTCAGGTGAGTAGATTGGTTTGGAGTCTGAGAGAAAGCGGTGTATTACTGCGACGAGACCAGACGAGAGTGAAATAGAAAGCATGTGTTGAATGAGGGAGAGCAGGTTCATCGAGTCCGTACTCTGGTGATTGAGTGATAATTGGGGCGGGGTCGTGTGGCTGACTGTGACCGTTGTTCACTTGGATCTATTTTTATTACCACAATTTTTGTATCCAACTACTCAATCGATGGAATTATCGGTTAGAATACTCGATTACTAAAATAATCGATAGCTGCCTCCCTAGCTAAGCTATTATGTCCATTGCAAGCGTACCTGCAATCAGACGTGTGTTTGAAATCACTCAATACAATCAGGAAATAGAAATGCACCGATATGTAAATTTTGTCCGATACCGATATATTGGCCGATATATCTAAATTCAAAATTTTATATACTTTGATAGCCTGGATACAAAAAAACAAAATGTATCCAAAAAAAGCTCACCATTAAAAGCCATGTCCCAAATACTTAAACATAAATCAAACATATACAATACAGTAGCCTAGTTTGAACCAGTGTAAGATTCCTTAAATTTTATGGAGCTTGTAATATGACAAAAAAAAATAATTGTGTAAGTTTGAATCTAACAAAGTGAAGTATAATCTAACAAGATTTAATATTATTTGGATTTTTAAATATTTCTGAATTTGGTTTCTTTAAACGAATATCGAACATTTGAAATTTAACGAATTGAAATGTTTTTATGGCTAAATTTTATAGACATGTTTTTTCATTTTTTTGTTCTGAATTCTTAGACTGCAAATTCCCTATTTTAAAAAGTACAGATTCTATGTGGCGAGCAGGACGAGGCCGAGGGACGTGAGAGAACGGCGGCGTGAGTGATAATGATCAATAATATTGTTGAATATTAAATATCCCCAACTAAGCAAGCCAAAAGCCAAGGCAACAGTGGCAAGAATGGAGAAAAAAACCTTGGGAGAACCCAGGCTCAGTCGGGGGCCAGTTCTCCTCTGAACTATGCAGCCAATTTGAATTTAGGAAGTCTATAGTGTGTTACGTGTATGCTAGGCAAAAGAGATGTGTTTTTAGTCTAGATTTGAACTGACAGAGTGTGTCTGCTTCCCGGACAATGTTAGGAAGATTGTTCCAGCATTTTGGTGCTAAATAGGAAATGGATCTACCACCAGCAGTCGATTTTGATATTCTAGGTGTTATCAACTGGCAGGGGGCTAATATGGTCACACTTCCTGGTTCTGGTAAGAACTCGAGCGGCTGCATTTTGGACTATCTGAAGTTTGTTTATTAAGTGTGCAGGACGACCACCCAGTAGAGCATTACAATAATCTAGCCTTGATGTCATGAACGCATGAACTAATTGTTCCGCATTTGTCATTGAGAGCATGTGGCGTAATTTAGATATATTTTTAAGATGAAAAAATGTGGTTTTACAGATATTAGACATGTGACTTTCAAATGAGAGATTGTTATCAAAGAACAGATCCTAACCGACGGAGATGGTTCTCACTGCGGAACATGAAATCCACGGGGAGGAGTCGGATCCAGATCCAACTCCCCCCACCTTACATACACCTAAACCTACCCAACTCCGCCCCCTGATCTCTAAACCCAACCCTAATCCTACCCATCTTCACCCCTTGGATCTTGATCCGACACCTCCCCGTGGATCACATGTACTGCATTGAGGTGCTACTGAACCGACGACAAAGACTTAACAGAGTGTTAGAGTGCCATCAAGTGTTAGACTGTATTCTAGGCTGTTACGTGTGGAAGTTTTTTGTCCAATAATTAGAATCTCTGTTTTTTTAGAATTTAGTAGCAGGAAATTACTAATCATCCAATGTTTTTTATATCAGAAATGCATTAAGTTAATTTTGTGAGTTGGTAAGTTTCGTTAGGTTTTGAAGAAATGTACAGCTGGGCATCATTAGCATAAGAGTGAAAGCCAATTTCATGTTTCCTAATGATATCTCCTAATGGTAGCATGTACAGAGTGAACAGCAGCGGTCCTAGTACTGAGCCTTGTGGTACACCATACTGAACTTGTGATCGATAAGACATCTCTTCATTTACTGCCACAAACTGATAACGGTCAGATAAGTATGATTTAAACCATGCTAATGCAGTTCCACAAATGCCAACATAGTTTTCTAGTCTATTTAAAGAATGTTGTGGTCAATTGTGTCATATGAAGCACTAAGTGCTAACACTAACACTCGAGTAACACTAATAGGGGAGATACAATCATGATCGGATGATAAGAGCAGACCATTTGTGACTCTAATTAGAGCTGTCTCGGTACTATGATGTGGTCTAAATCCATACTAAAAATCCTTGCAGATATCATTTCTTTCAAGAAAGAAACACAGTTGTGAGGATGGTTTTCCCAGTATCTTTGATAGAAAAGGCAGATTCGAGATTGGCCTGTAATTGACTAATTCTGTAGGATCAAGTTGCATTTTTTTTACAAAGTCAGAGTGCTGTATAGAGATGGAACAGGTATAGTTTAGTAGTTTAATTACGGTTATTAACAGGTATAGTTTAGTAGTAGGGGTGGCACGGTTCACGAAACCGACGGTTCGGTTTGTATCACGGTTTTAGTGTCACGGTTTTCGGTTCTGTACGGTTCTTGTTATTTTTTTCTTTTAATCTTTAACACTTCAGAAATGTACTTCATCATGTGATATATAGCTTAATTATCCACACTTTAGGATACAGTATAAAAAAAATTATATTCATGCAATCATGCACAAACTGAATTTGACTCTTTGACTTTAAGCACATTTTGGGACTTTCTCAGAGGAAAGCTAGGTGAGATTTTGACACAGCAAGAGAGAAGAAATTGACATGCTTTTCGTTTATTTGGCAAAAAAAAGGAGAATGTGTATCACTATCTCTACAAGAACTTGTGCATTTTTATCACACAAATCTTATTTACACAAAGAAATTAACTTGCATTTATGAACTGACAACTTTTGTAGCTCTTACAAAAATTCTATCTTTTAAAAGAAAAAAAGAGGAACTACACTGTCTTTTATGAATAAGTCAATATACATGAAACCTCATTGCCTATAATTAGGCTATAGAAATAGCAAAGGCCATAAACATAAAGTGAAAAGTTCAACCTCAACACAAAAAACAGTATCAACAATGCTTCTATTCCCAAAAAGTGAGGGTACCTTTTTTTCAGTTTAAATTAAAGTGCAGGATTTGGAAACATTTGACTGAAGCTCTTATCTATACATAAAGTGCCACTGTAACGTTATATTAAAATACCATAACATGAAATCCAAAATGTTCCCACACACCAGACTTATAGACTTATAGGACGCTCGCGCTTCCTCCAACTCCCTCATCTCTCCCACTTGCCATTTCTCCGCGTGCTGTGACCTGCAGCGCTCCATACTCCACTTTTACTGGCTTGTTTACTAACTTGAACCGGCGCTGCACAGAGCGATCGGTAATGACATCAAATACCGCGAAAGTGAGTGACAGAGCCGTCGTTCCCGCTCTAGTGTGATGTTATTCAGCGGTCGCTCTGTGCAGCGCCGGTCCAAGTCGAACAAGCTTATGTCGCGCGAAAAGAAAACACACGTCACATACGGGCACGAGGTTACATTGCGCATGCGTCGAACCTTGAGACGCACAGACGCTCCGAACCGAGACATGCGAACCTAACGGTTTCGGGTGTTTTTTCATGTACCGTGCCACCCCTATTTAGTAGTTATATAACGTATTTGTCATCTGCTTGTATGCACTAAACATATGACGTGACACAGGTGACAATAACAAGACAAGACATTACTCACCGTGTTTGTTGACTGATTGGTACTTACTGCGTTTGTTGACTGGTATTACTCACCGGGCTTTTTCTGAACTCAAAGGCACGGGCGCACGAGAGAAAACGAATAAATAAATGAGCGCACGGGTGGTGCGTTAACAGGCTAGCGAGTTACTAGTATGTTGTACTAACAATAACGGAAGCTTGTGTAAGGTTAATCTGAAATGTTGAAAATATGAAATGATGGTTAAAAACAGAAAGAAATATGAAGCTAATACAGGGTTAAGACGGAGCGAACAGTCCAGGAGCAAACAAACACACAGCAGAGCAGGCAGCGAGGCAGTCGAAGACTAATCAACCAATCACATTGCAGTTGCTTCAATGCATTTAGGGGTGTGGTCCTGGTCAAGACAATCTCTTGAACTCCAAACTGAAGTATCTGAGTATTTCACAATCTGCTCAGTTACTGGGATTTTCACGCACAACCATTTCTAGGGTTTACAAAGAATGGTGTGAAAAGGCAAAAGCAGTATGTGTCAGTCCTGTGGGCCAAAATGCCTTGTTGATGCTAGAGGTCAGAGGAGAATGGGCCGACTGATTCAAGCTGATAGAAGAGACACTTTGACTGAAATAACCACTCGTTACAACCGAGGTATGCAGCAAAGCATTTGTGAAGCCACAACACGCACAACCTTGAGGCGGATGGGCTACAACAGCAGAAGACCCCACCGGGTACCACTCATCTCCACTACAAATAGGAAAAAGAGGCCACAATCTGCAAGAGCTCACCAAAATTGGACAGTTGAAGACTGGAAAAATGTTGCCTGGTCTGATGAGTCTCGATCAGATGGTAGAGTCAGACGTTCGTAATAGGAAAAAAAATATACTATGGAAGTCAATGAGACCAGAAACTGTCTGGTTACTGATATTCTTCTAAATATCAGAAAATCGGCTGAATACATTCGAAAACGGTAAAACTCAACTGTTTAAAGGGGTGGTTCGGGATTTTGGACATCGGGCCTCATTTCCAAGTGAGCCTTAGTGTTATTTATTAGTAAAGACATTTTAAAAAAAAAAACATCCAGTCGTCACAGTTGCTTAGTTGGCCGGTGCTAGGCTAGCGCGAATCATTGGTATCTGTTTTAGCATGCCATTAAAACAGCTTTAACCACTCCACAGTTCACCAAAAGCACATCAATTATAGCACCAGACTATCAATGTAAATGTCCGTTGAGGGAATAATGTTAGAAATCAAACTACTTAATGCAGTTTGACATATCATAATATGTATATCAATGATCGCATTACATTTACAGGAACTAGTTTCTCAGCAGTGGCGGAATTTTACTTTGCTCCGGGAGTGGAGTTGCGCCGGAAAGTAAACACAACAGAATCGCACTACATTACAGTCGGAACGTCAAGTTAGCTAGTAGTAGCCTCGATTTTGAAACATTCGATCAGAATTTAAAGAATATTCAACATGGTTTTTCACTTTATTTTTAGAAATTGTACAAATAAACCCAAAAAATGGTCAACAAAAAGTTTCCACAAATTTCCAATAAGAGATCGAGAAAGGAACAAACTGTGGCTTCTTGCTGCTGGCTTGGATATGGATACTCCGACAGAGACACTACTAAAGGCCCGAATTTGTAGCGATCATTTTAGATCGGATGACTTTGTACAAAGTGATAGAAACGACAACAAGTCACTGAGTTTGAATGCAGTTCCAGCCGTCTTTCCCGATGCACCAACAGCTACAGATGAACAGGTAATAACTTTTGTTAGTCTACTCTAACCTCCAGCTAATGAATCTACTCTTTCATAACTGATAGATCGACACTGACAACATTAGTGGAGATAACGTTACAGTTCAATGCATTGTGGAGAGTGACACTATAATGTAACTACCGTTAGTAGAGATAACGTTACAGTTCAAGGCATTGTGGAGAGTGACACAATAGTGTAACTGACGGTATATTGTTAGTTATTTTATGAATTGATCCAACAGTCTGTCAAACATTTTATGGCTATTGTCTTTACAATCCACTATAATTGTTTATTTATCTTTATGTAATGTGTATCAATACAATTTATTGATATATGTTATTGTTGTTGTGTTATCTGCAAAGAAAATACAGGAGATGTTCACTGTACCACAGTCAACCCCTATAAAGGACTCCTATGTATTCTGACTCATACATGTATGGTTCGTTGAATAACACACATTCCTCATCTTCATCGTCTTCAAAGTCCGAAACATTGTCATTGCTTTCACACGTGGCCATAATTATATGTCTTGTTTTTTTATTATTGAAATAAACTCTGTTTCTGTAGTGATGATGAGTATCAGCGGCAGGTAAATACACTTGCGTGCGTGATTGATTGTCATGTGGACCGGCTCTCTCGGTTACCTAGGTAACATATCACTCCGCCACTGCTGTAGACTATGCTGATAGATGGGGAACAAAGTATAACTATTGCAATGCGATGAAATGATTTCTAACATTATTCCCTCAACAGACATTTACATCGATAGTCTGGTGCTATAATTGATGTGCTTTTGGTGAACTGTTGAGTGGTTAAAACTGTTTTAATGGCATGCTAATACAGATACCAATGATTCGCGCTAGCCTAGCACCGGCCAACTAAGCAACTGTGACGACTGGATGATTTTAAAAAAAAAAATGTCTTTACTGATAAATAACACTAAGGCTCACTTTGAAATGAGGCTCGATGTCCAAAATCCCGAACCACCCCTTTAACTCTGGGGGATTGATGAAACGAGCCTATTTCCAAAAAAAGTGGAGTATCCCTTTAATGGAGCACGTGGCACATGTGGAAAACATGTTACTATAGGTAATAATGTGGAGCTCATGTGAAATATATTTGCACATTGTAGTAGTTTTTAACTTGTGAATTATGTTACCATGTCACATACTGTACATTTTTAGCTTCAATAGCCTTAATTACACAAAATGCATAAAACATAAAGCTTATAATGCATGTGTAGGCCTAGGCCCACATATGCCTACTTATATGCACTGGTGACTCCGCTAACACTAACATTGCAAAAGTCAGCAACAGTTGTTTATCAACAAACTCTTCCAATAAAACATAGGAATTCAGTCTTCAAACGGCACACAACCAACAAAATATTTCATGGTCCACAGAGAACAGACCATAGACTTCTTGAGGGAATGACAATTGATGGCCTCGAAAAGTCATTAAAAACATTGTTAAAATAGTCCAAGTGACTACAGTGGCTCAATTTTAACTTTATCGGCCTTATCTATAGGTTACCCTGCTAAACTATCTTCACCGCCGGCATCCCTAATTAGCATGCGATTGGCACCCACCCCCCAACCTTGAGTGCAGTTGGCATTCGCATTGTTAGCTAATAATTTTCCACCGGAGCTTTAGCTAGCTGGCTAACGTCGCGTTCTCTCCTGCTGTGTTCAACGATTCAATTCATCAAGCTAAGCCTATGTCAACTGAGCTCCTGGGTAACTTAGATATAGCCAGAAAAGTATCGACCGATACCGATCCGATACCGAGCTGAATGATGCCCTTGAGGCAACATGAGTCACAGCACGCAGCTCTTCGAGTATGTTACGCATTGAAAAGTTCAAAGCACAAAGGAAATACATATCGATGCATAGTGTATTATACAGTATATATCTATGCAATAGTTTAGTGAGCGTTTCCTTTTAACAGTTTTAAATTTCAGTGACTGTGCACGTGAAGAACAATGATAGTGCTCTCCAGTGTTGTGATCCAGTCACGCGGTAAAGGAACATGATTAAGGTACTACAGCAAGATAGTCAATTTATGCGAAACCATAAAGCTTTATCTACAGATCAAGTATAATAATATTAACATTTAATCATCTTGGAGAGAGTTTCATCATTGCCGAACGCGACTCGCTGTGCTGTTTGAATGCTGTCCCGAAAAAAAAAATTAAAATAAAAAAAAGAAATCTGATCGGCTTATTTGTTGACATGCTTGCAGAGAAAGGCTTACCAAAACAAAGCCACTGGGTTTCACTTTTCACATTTTCTGGGTTGGTAGAGCACCAGGGACCTGATTATAGCACTTAAACATGGAAAAAGTCAGATTTTCATGATTTGTCCCCTTTAACTAAATGTCTTCTCATTTTTTGTAGGTAGTACGGGAAGCCTTAATTTACTTCCTCCAGATTGTGAGTATGAACATATACAAATGTTCACAATATATGCATTTGTTTGCTGTAGAGTTGTCAAAAAGTTCAGACTTCGGTACCAAATGGTACTGAAATTTTAAAATTGTGACACTTTTAGCGCTGCTGAGTGGAATCGTAAACGTCTTTGAAACGTCACGAGCTAATCGGACATGTCAGTGATTGCAACAATAATCAACACATTTGAGAGCACACGGAAGTGTTTGAAAGTGTTTTAAAAACGAGAGCAGTGTTTGAAACATAGACCGTAATAAAATATAAACAAATATGGACGTAGTGTCTGTGACGTCAGCCGTAGGTTTCTGAAGAGCGCTTTTGAAGCCTAAAGTGGGCGGAGCCGGCCGTCGCCATCTTGGCAGCGTTGCCGCGAGTAACTCCCGGATAACAGAAAATGGGCAAAGAGGCGGGACATGGGTGGAGCTGAGGTGCTTGTTGCTAAAACCACGCCCACCTAGACGTGATCGAGCTTGACGTGATCGAGCTAATGCTATATGCTACTGGCCTCGCACTGAAGTGACAGCTGATTGAAGAAGTAAAGCCAATAGTTAAAGTTCATGTTTTCGACCTTCGAAATACAATAATAGTTAAAAGACGTAACTTAAAGTGAGACTGTGTATCGTGATGCTAGTTAAAATGTATTCATATCTGATGAGTGTGTGAGTACAATGGGCAATCAGAGGTGTTTATGGTTCTGCTCAACATCGCTAAAAGTGTCACATTTTTAACATTTCAGTACCATTTGGTACAAAGTCTGTACTTTATGTACCAAACTCAAGTTGCTTTATGACTTTGACATATACTTTACTGTCAATTAATCTGTTTGTAATCTGTATAAATTTCTATGCACATGATCCTCTCTTGTTCAGTTTCCTTGAGAAGGATGGTGTTGGTGGGAATGACTGGAACCGGCAAAAGTTCTTCTGGAAACACAATCCTGGGCAGAGAAGCCTTCAGAGTCGCCAAAAGTGGTTCATCTGTGACCAAAGAGTGTGGGAAACAGTCTGAAGAAGTGGCTGGAAGAGAAATCGCAGTGGTTGATACACCCGGTATGTTTGACACTGATATTTCAGAGGAGGAGCTTCTGGAACAGGAGATCAGTAAGTGTGTAAACATGACGGCACCTGGACCTCACGCCATCATCCTGGTCATTAAACTCGGCCCGTTCACTGAAGAAGAGAAACTCTCAGTGGAGAAGATCAGAGCCATATTTGGAGAACAAGCAGATAAACACACACTCATCCTCTTCACACACGGGGATAAACTGACGAGCACTATTGAGAAACACATTGATGAAGTAGGTGAGGATCTGAAAGAAGTCCTGAGTTGCTGTGGAGGAAGATATCACGTGTTCAACAATAAAGACATGGAGGACCGTAATCAGGTTGTGGAGTTCCTGCAGAAAGTGGATGACATGATCTCTGATAATGGAGGAGGATTTTACACCAATGACTCTTACCGGGAAGTTGATCTCATGCTGAAAAATAAAGAAGAAGAACTGAAGAAGATGTACGAGAAGAAACTACAGGAGAAAGAGAGGGAACTGGAGTCCAGATTCGCTGAAGAAAAGAGGAAACTACAGGAGAGAAAAGAGGCACCAACAGCATCTGAGCAGGAGAAAGAAAAGAAGATCAAAGAGCTGGAACAACTGAATCAGAGTAAAAAGATTGAGTTCAAGAGATTTTATAAAGTAAAGATCAGAGAGACCAGACAGGAGGCAGAAAAGACTTGTGTTAGTCAAAATATAATAAAGATCATAAAAAAGTTTCTCAAGAAACGTTAATCACATTCCAGTTATGTGCATGCCTATACAGTACAACAATTGTAATATATATATATATATATATATATATACACACACACACACACACACACACACACACACACTCATCTAAAGGATTATTGGGAACACCATACTAATACTGTGTTTGACACTCTTTCGCCTTCAGAACTGCCTTAATTCTACGTGGCATTGATTCAACAAGGTGCTGAAAGCATTCTTTAGAAATGTTGGCCCATATTGATAGGATAGCATCTTGCAGTTGATGGAGATTTGTGGGATGCACATCCAGGACACGAAGCTCCCGTTCCACCACATCCCAAAGATGCTCTATTGGGTTGAGATCTGGTGACTGTGGCGGCCATTTTAGTACAGTCAACTCATTGTCATGTTCAAGAAACCAATTTGAAATGATTCGAGCTTTGTGACATGGTGCATTATCCTGCTGGAAGTAGCCATCAGAGGATGGGGACATGGTGGCCATAAAGGGATGGACATGGTCAGAAACAATGCTCAGGTAGGCTGTGGCATTTAAACGAGGCCCAATTGGCACTAAGAAAAACATTCCCCACACCATTACACCACCACCACCAGCCTGCACAGTGGTAACAAGGCATGATGGATCCATGTTCTCATTCTGTTTACGCCAAGCTCTGACTCTACAGAAATCGAGACTCATCAGACCAGGCGACATTTTTCCAGTCTTCAACTGTCCAAATTTTGGTGAGCTCTTGCAGACTGTAGCCTCTTTTTCCAATTTGTAGTGGAGATGAGTGGGACTCGGTGGGGTCTTCTGCTGTTGTAGTCCATCCGCCTCAAGGTTGTGTGTGTTGTGGCTTCACAAATGCTTTGCTGCATACCTCGGTGGTAACGAGGTTGATTGGTTAACGATTGGTTGGTTAGATAATTGCATTAATGAGAAATTGAACATGTGTTATATCTAATTTCAGTTCAATAATCTCAGTATTACTTATAAATAAGCTTTTGCACTGCAAATCTCTTTAAATTGACATTGTCAGGGTACATGTCTGCACAGCTAGTGAGCAAGTTAAAAAAAGGGAAATGATACTTGACATTTAAAAAAATATATCTTTTGAATATCAATATCGTAACGAATAGAAATAGCAGTTCATATATCAATATTAACAAATAGAAATAATGTATAGTTATCTGTATCTTCTGTCTCTTATGTATAGCTGCTTTTTAAACACGGAAATTGCGTTCAGCATGACACGCAAGCGTTTGCCGTGGTGAACAACCTGCTTGTTAAAGCGAATTTATAATAATTACTAAAGTGCAACTTTGCAGTGCAAGTTATATAATTCTTACTCCAAACAATTGGCCACTGAACCAGCTGATCAAATCTTCCTTTGATTCGAAATATGTGATTACAACTCGACACTCAAATTAAACGATTGCATTTTGTTGATGCGTCACGCGCGTGCAAACGCACTGAGAGAGAGCGCGGTGTGTCAGTGTCAGTGTTACAAGGCAGACTGATCTCATGAAGTAGCGTGTGTATAACACGCCAATTCGTATTTCTATTTTTGGCGTGCTATCAAGACGCATAATTGCCTTTCAGCGTGTTTATGAACGCCGTTGACTTAACGTTATATAAATATATGACTTACCTCAACCCCATCCCTAAACCTAACCGTCACTGGGGTTAATGGCATTTATGACTGTTCCCTTACCATCCTAGGGAAAAAAAAGATCGATCCCCAGATGTAGATGTACATTTTGCTTCGTTTCGCACGGACATTTGACGGCGTGTACAGACACGCGGAATCACTCAGACGTTAATGGCGTAGACATGTACGCATACACGCGGATAGCTCAAAATGCGTAGAGAACACACCACTTGATTCGAAAGTGGCGTTTATGTTTACGCAAAAGTCATGATGTCATGTTGCACAAGCTGTGTATAAATTATACTAATGTTACTTAGGCCACATCCACACGAAGCCAGAGCTTTCCCTATCCAATGGTTTTTTTTTTTCCTCGTTCTAAAAAAAAAAAAGTAAACACTATTTTCTTAATTTACAAAAGCACAGTGTTTTGTTTTTACTGTAAGTGGACACATACAAAAGTAGACATCTCACAGATTCTTTTTTTCATATTTCTTGTTTCTGTGTGACCATAAATGACGGAGTAATTTAAGTATATTGTGCTACTATGTGAAGAAAATACAGCAAAACGCGCCAGCTCGAAGGTGAAGAAAGCTCAAAGAGAGCATCTTGATAAACGTAGCAGTGATATTCTAGATTTGGACACATTCCTGGCCCAAACCCCATCAGCTGAGCTTATTAAACAAAGAATTGCCCTTCAAACTGAATATAATCTTTTATCCACCAAATATAACACAAAACTCATTAACAAGACGGTCCAAAACATGAATATAAAGAAAAACGGGTATGATTTTGTCTTACTAGTTACAGCAGAAAACTGTAAATCCGTTAATCCTTGAAGTTATCCTTGATAACCTGAGTGTAAAACATTCACGAATTAATAAGTGCTTCTGGGAGTTTTATGGAGATTTGTACTCTTCAGGGTCATTTACAAATTAAGCTTTATACAAAACTTTCTTTAGTAAATGTAACATACCCTACGCCTTAGTATCTTTTTAGTATACCTACTAAAAAGTAACCAAAGTTTGTTTCTAGAAGAAAATCGTGTCACAGTCCAGCTTAAGTTCAGAGGATGGTTCATTTCCGTTTTAAAAATCACAAGTTTCTGTCATAATCATTTCTGTCATTAATGACACCCTCACTGAGTTCAGTGACTGACATGGAAGAGAAGAGATTGTTGTATAAAGTTGTTATTTTGTTTTTGTTTGTTTTTTGCGCACAAAAAGTATTCTTGTAGTTGCATAACAAGGTTGAATCACTGTAGTCACATAGGCTATTTATTTCTGTGCCTTTCTGGGCCTTGAAAGTGGTAATTACGTTACTGTTTATGGAAATCTCTCACATTTCATCAAATTTTTGTTCTCGAGATGAACAAATCTATACAGATGCTCTGGTGAAAACTGTGATGTCATTGTCCAGCTCAGTTCAGTTCTCATGTAAAGGTGCCAATGCATGCAGATCAATAATATAGTGCAATATTAAGTGTTAACAGCTGTAAATTATATCTTGACTTGAAAATGCAACATGGAAAATATTAATGATGTCGTGACCAACTTCTGTTAATATCCAATATACAATTCTGTTAACACGCTATTTTTGCCATTATATTGTTAACATAAATCTATATTTTTTGTATGTACATGTATGTGAAAATGTATATTTATTTTATTTATTTTTTTTTTGTACACATTACCCCAATTATAATAAAAAGACTTTGACGAGGCAAAAAAAAAAAAAAATATGTCTTGAATTATGTTAGAACAAAATAATTAGCCACCAATTTCATAACAGCAGTGTGAATCACAAATCAATTCTATGTTTGATAACTTCATAAAGTGGGACATGGGCGTCGGAACCATTGTATATTTTATATATTTTAAGACCAATGATATTGGACACTCACTTCTACAGTCTCTAATTCTAATTCACTTGAGAAAAGCCCTAATAAATTAAACTCCATTACGTGTTTTAGCTACTGTGCTGATTTCCACGCGGCTGCTCAAATCTATTCCACCTTCATTCAGAGTCCCACCAAACCCTTACTTTTCAGGCCAGATGAGCCAATGCGCATGTGCTATCCCAACTCGAGTCTCAGGCTCCTATGGGAAGCGGAGCTTCTAACAGTTAGAATGCAGATCAAACAAAGTTTAAACGTTATTAATTAATTACTGTAAATGAATCTCTAGTTTGTTATTGGCTATTAGAGCTGGGTTGGTTTCTGAGACCGAGAAGCACAGAGACGGCAATTAACGCGTTTTATTTGTGACCTTGCTGTGCTTATTCCATTAATTCAAGTAGCCTATCTTATTGTTCAAGGCTTAAATCGTTTAAATATGCATACAATAATATACGATCTCATATCGCAGAACATGTTTATGATGTAGTAACCTATTTGAGTTGATATTACTCTTGCCAAGCTCTTATTTCTGAGAGTTTGCACCTATGTCACGATTTGGTCAGTTACCCGGATGCGCGGCCATATTGGAGATACTCGGATGTAAACAACAGCATGGATTGCACTGTTTATGTACTGACAAAGTTCACTTTCTACATGAACTAGTTCAAAGTTCAGTTCACAAATTTAAAAATGAACTAGTTCATTCATAGTTCTTTTATTCCATATGTTGCACGCTTCTTTTTTAATTATTGCCACAGCCCATATACAACCACAGACAAGAATTATTTTATCGATGGGCAAAGTTTGCACAGAAATGTAAGATTTTTCCCATCCTCAACGACCTCGTCATGAAATCCGTTTAAATGATCATACGACACCTCCTCGCGCGCTGCTTTGCCGACGCTGGCCGTGATGCGACACTGGTGTCTCGTGTTGCAAGATTGGGTGATTTTTTTTTTAGCTACATATTAAGGCCGATTTACCTGTCATTTATCCTGACATAGGTATGCTGAGACTGTCATTCCAAAAAAAGCACATGAAATCTGTTTCAAGCTACATCCATTTCTGGTTTGAATTCTTATTCAAATTAAATAATCAGGAAAATTAACTCAGTAAAATTCAGTCTAGAAAAACAATAATTTTATAAAATCTGAACATTTAGTGAAAAAAAAATATTTAGTGGGGAACAAATAAGAGACAATAAGTGTAGCACTAAATCTGGTAAAACGTTACATATTGCTCTTTCTATCGTTGTAAAATACATTCATGAAAAACAAGATAACAAAAATCAAAAAGATCAATATTTTATAGTCTACTATAACATTAAGAAAATATATATAGCACAAATGTATAGCATAGCTGTTTAATGAGGCAGCAACATATGATAGATAGGACAGAACAGAACAAAAAATACTATTAATAATCTTATATTGCGCAAAAGTATTATGATATGATTATGAAAGCACTCTATTGGAGTCTTTCATAATCATATCATAATAATATGCGCATCC